CTTCTAAGAATACATCAACAACAACTGTTCAAAGTGACACAGCCGTGGGTGTGTGTCTATATATACAATATATGTGTCCTTTTATGTGAGGAACGCATTATGTGTGGAGAGCGTGAGGCTGGATTCAGGAGCGAGGTCAAGTGTGTGAACAGGAGGGAGGAGAGAGAGTGAGAGTGTGTTTTTTTTATTCTGGGAGTCTGTCAGAGTCTGGTGGCAGTCGGGAGGTAAAACACTAAAAACTCGGCTTATTAAGGAGTTTCTCGCCGTCAGAGGCCAGAGCTTGAACCTTACAGTTAAGAGGGGAGTAAAGGCACAAAGATGCTGAGAGGATACCGTTAGCCTCAAACGCTGTTTTTGTCACAAACTCTTGGATTCCCCCTGTGTGGTGATGGGGACGGTGAGCGAGCTGTGTGCCTCCAGCTTCCAGGCATTTCTCTGCCCTTCAGTACGACCTGCTGCAGCCACAGGTGAGAGTTTTCTGAGGAAATACATGTATTTTTCTGTTATCTTAGAAAACAGGTAAGTGTTGTTTCACATATGGACGATTCTTGATAAATAAACCTTTAGTTTGAGCTGATTTTTCTTAATTCTTTATTTTTCTGAGTTTAATAGTAGAGATGCAGCCATTAGTCAGCAACTTGATTAATTGATCGACAGAATATTACTGTCATTTAATTCATCAGTCATTATTTTTAAAGTAATTTTTCATTCAAGACGCCTCTGAAATATAGAGAACCCTGTCTTATATCATATTAAACTGAATATCTATGGGTCTTTGACAAACAAAACAAGACATGAAGACATCACCTTGGACTTTGAGAAACTGGTGATGACATTTTTCACTATTTTCTGACATTTTTTAGACCAAATAATTAATCTTTATCAATAAGTTGTCATGATTGTTATCATCACATGGCATTGCTGGTTAAATTATCCTTTCATGTGACTCCTAAAAGCTTAGAAATAACGCACAAGCAGAGCCAGACTGGCACAAAGTGCTATCAGTGTTCAGTTGCCGTGGTGATTCTCTGTGGTTATCAAGACACACAGAGTGCTCTGTAATGTGTGTGTGTGTGTGTGTCGGTGTGTGTGCCATCATGCTGTTTCTGACATTTCTGTGTTCATGTAGATACAAGTCAGACAAACTGTGCTTATGTGTGTGTGTGTGTGTGTGTGTGTGTGTGTGTGTGTGTGTGTGTGTGTGTGTGTGTGTGTGTGTGTGTGTGTGTGTGTGTGTGTGTGTGTGTGTCTGTGTCTGTGTCTGTGTCTGTGTCTGTGATGGTGGATTGGATTTGAAAACATGACGCACAGCCATCACCCAGGACCCTCCTCTCCAGTGGGTGCTTGAGTGACACAATCTCCATCCCTGCCCACTGTGCAGGTGCTACTGTAACCAACCTGCTCACTCAAAAGCTATTCTCACACCGTGAACGCAGCGCGGCCGTGCACACAAAGGTAGTTTCTCCTCGTCATGGCTTTTATGATTTTCAATCTGGACTTCCCCATCTTATTTCCTCTGCTACTTTCCTTTTATCAAGCCTCGAGGCCTCTGATACAAGATTTCACAGATAAATGCTTTAATTGTGAAGTAGATTTACACAATATGCTCTACTGTAGTTTCTGTTGAATTATAATGTCATCATTCTTTTTCAAATTGTTATAACTTTTGTGAATAATGGTTGTACTTAAAGAATGAGTGTTATAATAACAAAATTAATTGTATTTTTTTCTATTATTGTTATTATCCAACATTTTTTTTTTTACTTAAAGAGAAGCAGTGTCTGTTGAAAAATGTGTCCCTCCACTTCAATACAATGGACATGATTGAGATTTTATTTGTGATTTTTTTGGAATAACAGCAGCTTTTCTCTCCATGAGCAGTGCCCCTGTTATCCGATTAATTTGCAAATCTCACAGTTAACAGTTTCCAAATAAATACTCCTCATGAAAACTGTTCACTGCTGTCTTCCCTGCCCCTCCTCAGCATATCCTGTTTTTGGTGTGTCCAAATGCTGCATAAAGCACTGATTCAAGCGCACAGCTGCAACCCTTTCCTCTGTCCTTCCCTACATCCTCTCCCTTCCTAGCACAAACCACCCATCCTCTGATATCAAGCCTGCTTCCTCAGTCTTCACACCCTCTTGTATACATAAATATGTCTCTCACTATCAGCAGTTGGGGGAATATTACTTTAAAGCTTAGTGTGTTTTACTTGTTACTTGTTAAATTGTGTATCCTTCTTGAATGAATGCCTTCTTCACTAGAACATGTACAACTATCCCCAGGCCAAAACATATTAAAACGGAATCTGTGAGCAATGCATGCAGCTGCACCCACATAGGGATACCCACTGTACACACACACATGTAAAAATACAAACATTTACGCATGCAAAACGCATTTCCTCTTTTCATTTCTCCTTTTCTCTACACAGGCAACTGCTTCCGTCACCGAATAAAAATTGTTGAAATGTCAGAATGACACACTTGGAAAAATATGAAATATTAATGCTGCCACTACAGACAAAATAATGATTTATAATAGTGAGTCAAACTTAGTTGGGACAGTCATTTACTGGCTCAATATTATATATTATGACTTAGCATCTCCTACCTCATCCAAACACAGTAAATCGTGATTTTGACGATTTGTGACTTATTTTGTCAAGATTACGACTTTAAATGCCGTTAAAAGTAATGTAGGTCAAAACAAATTACAGTAAGTTATTGAGTTAAAAAGGAGTTATTATGACTTTATTTTTCTTTCTTTTCATATCTTATTTGAAATGCTAGATAAAATATCATGTAATGGAATATAATGTAATTAGAAAAAGAAAAATACATCATAATTCTGAATTTAAGTTAGTCAGACACATAAATTGAGTAGATTTCTGATAGATAGATTTCTGATAGATAGATAGATGGATGTTTCTTTCTTTTTGTCTGCTCTCTGATTGGCTGCTGCGGTGGAAGCCGCGCCTACGTCACCCTGCCCCAACACCGGCTGTCTGCACAGTTGTCATTAACTGCCAGTGTAACGGTAACCGAGTGAGGAAATACAGACACCCCTCGACCTTTAAAGTTGATTTAAAGTGACTTATTTAAGCGCTGTTCTCTAGGCAAGCGTGGAACAAGAGCACAGACATGGTTTTGAAGTCCGAAGATGGAGTTGGTAAGTGGGCTTTGGTTGGTTAATGTGAGCTAGCTAACCTAGAGGCTAACCAGGTTAGCTAACTAGCTAACGTAACTTTATTTAACATCGTAACTGAAGTGAGCACCTTACATTACTTTTTGTCTAAGTAAATACCGGGTAATTATTTAATTTTTTTGCATTTACTTTCCTGTCAGCAGAGAGATATCAACAGGTCCTCATTTGACTGATTTGTTAATGCTCTTAGGCAGTCTTTATTAACTGGCACAAGGGATCCATTATTATTAATCTGGATTTAGGCCAGACCTCATGGGGGTTGTACTTATTGTGCAGCACTTTATAGTTCATGTGTCTATAAATACAATCAATGTGCCCATTTGTTGGTTGAAAATAGAGGAATTGCTCTCTGAAATCGGACTTCTCTAATCATTTTCCCAAATTGTGACCAAAGTGTTGGTCACAAAAAGGTCAATACAGAGAGGGGAAATGTGCTACCATAACATAACAATGTTTTCTTGGATTATAAATCCTCACAGCTGCACTAATGTTTCCTCTGACAGTTTGAGAGCTCCCACGGGAAATGCTCTACAATGAGGTAATGGGGAAAAGCCTAACAAAACCGATAACCATATGTGATTTAAATTAGGATGACTCATTCTGTTCAGTCAATTGTATGAGATGGACTAGCAATAACATACATTGTATTTGGTAGCTGCTGTCAAATAAGGATCAGAGTTACCAGCAGTATGGATTTATTTCCAGGCAGGCATTAATATTAGTAGTTCAATTTTTGTTAGTAACTGTAATACACTTCACCACCCTTGGAGAGCAGTTCAAGTTGTCATATTTAGCGTCACTCCCTCTGTCTTTCAGGGACGTTTTTCTCTTTCTGTGTCAAGGCACAGTTTGTTCTCTCCTGTTCTTTACCCTGATTTTTGGATTTCTTTTTGGCTGTGTGAATGCGATCCGTCACTAGGGAGTTTACCATAACCGCAGGACTATATCACTCTTGATCTGGTTATCCTCGGGGCCGGGAAACCTTGAAATGCACAATTAGGGCCTTGTGAACTGAACACTGAAATGGACAAGTATTGCCTTGTGAACAGTAAACACACAGTTTGTTTTCTAGTCATAACTGATTTGCCTTGAGCCCTGGGTCAGCTGCAATCCTGTGGCAGAAACAAAGAGACAACCCAGTGAGCGAGCTGTTGTTGGTGTATGTGTGTGTGATCTATTCCAGAAGAGAAAACCCATAAGTAGAGAATTAAGGATTTAAGAATGATTTAATGCTGCCAGAACATAGAGCGGTTATTTCTTGTTGGTTGTTGATGGTGAGTAGGAGATGCAAATCATATATTCCAATCCTCATTTTTTGAGTGAACAGTGTTTCAAAGACGCAAAACTGCACCTCCCCACGTCCGTTTCCTCTGGGTGGGACACCAGTGGGGAGACTCTTTGATGCTCTGCTCAGTGAGGGAGGGAGTCTCCATTAAAAAGAATAATCTAAGAATTTATATTTTTTCCGCATTTACTTGTTATATATATATATATCTTTTTTATTTTGAAAACTATTTAGCGCATAATAACTTTTTCATATTTTTTTCATATTATTTATGAGAATTTTCTAATTATTATATATATTTATTTTAAAAATGAACTATATATAGCATATATCATATATTTTTGTATGTATATTTTGGCACCCTTTTGACTTCATCAGAGGGAGGAGTCAAGATGGCCAGAGGGAGGTGGGGGAGAGCGATGAGAGTTCAAGGGTTTTCCCCCTCTCACACACACACATACACACACTCCCAAACACACTTGTCCTCATCCTCATTTAGCTGCAGGCCTGCTCCCCTCCTCTCCCCTCTGCTGGAATGAGAGCTTGAGGATTAAGGAGCCGGGCGGCTGGACCAGACGAACACAGGATTGAAATTGGGATTGGAGGGCTCGGGCAGGACTGGATTATTGTTGGACTGCAGGAAACGGGCAGTTTGTGCTGGGATTGGTGACACGGATTGTCTTGTGGACTCTATGAAACAAGTGGCAGTGAGAAACAAACGTGGTTTTCAGCGGCACTGGGAGCACAGGGACTATTGAGACTGGTTGTGAAGCTACTCAGCTGCAGACAGACCAACGCTTTCTCTGGTATGAACCTCCGGATTATGACACAAATGTGTAGGTGTTCAGACAGCGCGTCATCACAACTACTGCTTTTGATCTATTTTTCAGAAACTTGGCTGAATGAGGGTGCATGCGTGTGGGTTGTCACGTATTCCTTAGAAACACGTATGAGAGCCAGAAACCTTGCCAGAAAAAGACATGTGGTTTTGATGTCTTGTTTGTTCTCACTGAGGATGTAACGAGCTGCATGACTTACAGGGTAGAGCGTGGAGGGTCACAAATAGAGAGTGAACTTTAAGCCTGGATATGTCGGTTGTCCAGAGCAGCTGGTCATCAGAGGCATTGCTACGACAAGGTGTCCCATTACTTGGCAACACCAACACTCTCTGACCTCCAAACTATGCACAGCCGCTGGTTTATTTAGTTGTTTATGTCAGAATGTGTGTGTTTGTTTGCTTAATAGTAGGATGTTGTGGAGAGGAGTTCTATCAGGCGTCATGAATCCATTTTGCTCTTATTTCCTCTCTGAATGAAAAGACAGACAGAGGAAGTGAGTGAATGTCAGTTTCACTGCCTCTGCTGCGTTATTCTCGTCCTCAGGTTTATAATAGGGCAGCTCCGGCCTACTTAAACCTGTCTCTGTGGGCGACGGGTATGTGTGTGTGTGTGTGTGTGTGTGATGAGCGAGTGCGTCACTGTCTGTGTGTTTGCACTATGTAAATAATCATTACAGAATGATTGGATTTGACTTTGTTTACCTCTAACATAATCAGACATGTCTGCATGTTGGGAGGAGGAGTTAAAGAGGTTTACAATATATTCATAATAAATCATTTGTAAAGCTAGAAAATAGGTCAATTAGTTTACTCGTTGATAGACAGAATGTTAATCTAGATTAGAACAATTTAGATAATGGACAAACATTCTTGCAGTTTATTACATTTAGAAAGTAAATCTATTTGGGCAATGAAAACTTGACATATTTATTTTAGAATTATAATATATCGTTGTAATCACTAAAACCATTACATTGTACAAAAACAACATGAATGGTCTTTGTTGACACTGAGTAACTTTGTGATGATGCAGGCGCGTTCACACCGCAGTACTTTTCCCACTTTAGTTCCGATATAGTTCCGAAATGTCGCGTTCACACCAAAAAGAGCCGGAACTAAAATTAGTTCATGAGAACCTTTTTACCCCCTTTTCCGTCAGTTTTCCGTCCCTGCTAGAGAGCAGGTACTTGCGTGGGAGAAAAAGGTTCCTATGTCTGATTGGCTGGGCGGAATGCAAACCACGCCCCGTAAAACTCCCAAAAAGTTTTGTGAAGCTGCCATTTTATTATCCTTGCATTAGCATTATTAGCATTAGCCCAGCGCAGAAACGCAGAGAGACTAACTTATGGCAACACAAAATAAAACATGGGAGCGGTGGAGATGAGGAGGTGTCGGCGTTCTGGCGATTTACTCGGAAGGCTTCAGTAGAAGCTGCTGGGAGTCCCAGCAGCTTCTACTGAAGCCAGTCCCCAACTCCGGGGACTTCCGGCCGGGGACTTCGGGTGGCAGTATACGCCGTGAAGTTGTTTGCGGCCTGCCAGTAAACCCAAAGCAGAAGAAGAAGTAACGTCAGCGGCTTCATTTGCCTAATCCTCCCCCAGGGATTTATTCCGGTGTGAACGCGATCTGTACTTAGTTCATGAGAACTAAAGAGTTCCGATTAACTAAGTTCTGATGAACCTTTGTGGGAAAAGTACTGCGGTGTGAAAGCGCCTAATGAGCAGTTTCCCGGAGTCGCTCAGGCTGACACGCAGCAGCACAGCTCAATAGGCGCTTTCACACCGCAGTACTTTTCCCACAAAGGTTCATCAGAACTTAGTTCATCAGAACTCTTTAGTTCTCATGAACTAAGTACAGATCGCTGGGACTCCCAGCAGCTTCTACTGAAGCCTTCCGAGTAAATCGCCAGAACGCCGACACCTCCTCATCTCCACCGCTCCCATGTTTTCTTTTGTGTTGCCATAAGTTAGTCTCTCTGCGTTTCTGCGCTGGGCTAATGCTAATGCTAATAATGCTAATGCGAGGATAATAAAATGGCGGCTTCACAAAACTTTTTGGGAGTTTTACGGGGCGTGGTTTGCGTTCCGCCCAGCCAATCAGACATAGGAACCTTTTTCTCCCACGAAAGTACCTGCTCTCTAGCAGGGACGGAAAACTGACGGAAAAGGGGGTAAAAAGGTTCTCATGATTTCATAATTTTTGTTCTGGCTCTTTTTGGTGTGAACGCGACATTTCGGAACTAAAGTGGGAAAAGTACTGCGGTGTGAACGCGCCTAATACGTCCTCCGTGGCTCCTTGTTAGCCTGCAGTAAATACTCTTTCTTTTCTTAAGCTGTTGTCACTGATGAGAAACATGGTGGATACGGACAGTAGTTAACAGTGCAGGGGTTTGATGTTTGCAGATCAGATTCAGCGTAAATATTCTCCATGATTTTCCCTTTTTTATGTTGAAATATCTTGAGAAAAAACAGAAGTCACTGTGACTGACAGACTCCCATTTCCTTCCCTCTCTTATCGTTCCGCTGCAGATATCATGTGTGGCCGTAGGCACATGAACTTCTGCTCTATCAAAGTGCACACTTGTTCAGTTGAGGCGGTGTGTTACATTTAAGGCAGAATGGACATTTGAGTTGATCAGAAACTTCTATTCTCTTAGATCATATTAAACTCAATGTATTTGTCTTTTGGACTGATATACTATACATTTAAAGACATCATCTCGGACTTTGAGAAACTGTGATGGACATTTTCATTGTTTTCTAAGACTTCAAAGAACAAATGAGTAATTGAGAAAATAGTTGGCACATGAGTTAATTAACAAAACTGTAAATCCCTGCCTTCAAAATGTGCTTTCTTTTTAAATAAAGAAACCACAGAAATATTTTGTACTTTACAACAAACAGCTGTAATGGAGATTGTGTTTTCATAACCTGTCATTCACTTAATACCAAAGCTGACAAAGGTTAAACATATTGAAATAATGTATTTTTGGCAATCTACAGTCCAAAAAGTACTTATGTTCAAATGCCCATGTTTTCTGTCAATAATCTTACATTGCTAACATATGGAAAAACACAATTTCCACCAAAATGTCCCCATGACCATCACCATGTGTGTACATCAGTATTAAGAGCAAGAGGATGGATTACCCCCCCCCCTCCCTGTGGGGTTCTGATGCTGAGGGTTATTAGATATATCAGAGAGCAGTGGGACTCTGATGTCTCTCTCCTTCCTTTTTGTATATCAGCGTGTGTGTGTAAGACAATATTTGATCTTTGTATTTGAGTGCTTCATGTCCTTTCTCCCCCAGTGCCTGATGACCTCAGTCCAGAGGAGAGAAAGGAGCTGGAAAGCATCCGCCGCAGGAAAGAGGAGCTACTGCACGACATACAGGTAACTAATAACACACACTTCTCTCAGCCGGTCCAACCTGTCATCAGTCCTTATTTATTACTGTTTGGACAAAATGCTTTCTTAACGGGGCAAACATGATATGGGAATTTGTCTTTGTCTCTTTTGTTTATAAATTGGTCCCAACTTTTTACATTGTAAGCTGTGTGGAAGGAAAGTTAAACCAAAGGGAATTTGGCAGTGGTGGAAAGTACATTCACTTAAGTAGAGTACTTAAGTATAATTAGTGAGAATATTTCCATTGTATGCTTTTCAATGTTTTGTCTGAACATCACATTGTTCCAGTACTTCTTTCTTCTCTCGGTGTCCTTGAGTAGATGCGTACCTCTATGTCTAGACCAGTGTGCCGTGTGTGTGTGTGTGTGTGTGTGTGTGTGTGTGTGTGTGTGTGTGTGTGTGTGTGTGTGTGTGTGTGTGTGTGTGTGTGTGTGTGTGTGTGTGTGTGTGTTGTGTGTGTGTGTGTGTGTGTGTGTGTGTGTGTGTGTGTGTGTGTGTGTGTGGTGTGTGTGTGTGTGTGTGTGTGTGTGTGTGTGGTGTGTGTGTGCTGTGTGTGTGTGTGTGTGTGTGTGTGTGTGGGATGTGTGTGTGTGTGTGTGTGTGTGTGTGTGTGTGTGTGTGTGTGTGTGGTGTGTGTGTGTGTGTGTGGTGTGTGTGTGTGTTGTGTGTGTGTGTGTGTGTGTGTGTGTGTGTGTGTGTGTGTGTGTGCTGTGTGTGTGTGTGTGTGTGTGGTGTGTGTGTGTGTGTGTGTGTGTGTGTGTGTGTGTGTGTGTGTGTGTGTGTGTGTGTGTGTGTGTGTGTGTGTGTGTGTGTGTGTGTGTGTGTGTGGAGGGGGTATAGGCGTATGACCACCGGAGCGTTACTGTAGACATTCAAGACGAATGAACCTCTTTGTGTGGGGTGCATGTCTGTGAGGGGGGGACCTCGTGTGTGTGTGTATATATATATATATATATATATATATATTTATATTGTATGTGCGTGTCCTGCAGCTCTCTCTGCCTGGAGGGACAGTTTGACCCCCTGCCTCAGCCCCCCTTCAACCTTTGATAAATTAGTGTCAGCTCTTTATCTGGGTTCATTTGTTTTGCTAGATTAGATTGAATATTAGGTCTTATCGTGATTAACAAGACATTGTAAAAAAACAATAATGACCTTTATCAACATAAAGGTTTTTGACCCTAACTAGATCAATAAATGACTGGGAACAATATCTACTGCTATCATAGTTCCATGAGTCATTGTTTCAAGCTCAAATCTTCCAAAAGTCCTTAGTTGCAGTTGTTAATAAATGGTCTTGTGTAATAATAAACATCTTTTGGTTTTGGTCTGTTGGTAAAGCACTTTGATGACATTAACATCGGCTTTAGCAATGTTTCTTTTCATTTTATAGAACAAATATTAAAACGACTAGTAGAGTAAATAAATTATAGATTAATTGATTATAAAAAAGTGCTATAAAATTACTACATATTTTGATCTATGAGATGTTCATGCATCCAAAACAAACACACACACTAGAAAGACAAACATGGCCCCCGGCAGCGACGCTGTGCGACTGATTGATGGAGTTTATTACCGAGGTGGACTCGTACGGCGCTTTCCTTTTCTCTAAGCCCCGCCCTGTGTTGCCCTTGGGGGCTGATGGGTAATGAGCCATGAAATATTCCAGTAATGGAGACGGAGGATGCTCTTCGTCTATGAGGGGGGTGTAACCATGGAAACGCACATGTAAGAATCCAGTTATTTACCTTTCTTTCACACACTCGCAGATAGCTGTAGATAATAAGAGCTCCAACCGGAGACTCCGGCCTTGTCTGCTTCTTTTTTTCTTTAATTATCTTAGTTCATTATCTTTTCTGGGCTCAGGGTTTTCAATCTGTTTCTCGCCTCTTTTTTTTTTTTACTCCTACAACCTCTGTTGTCCGCTGCAGCTCCACTAAGCCAGTCAAAGTCTTTGATCCTGCATGTTCCCCTCCTTCCCCAGCAGTGTGGCTCTCAAACAGCCCGCGGAGGGGGGGGAGGCAGGGTGATAAATCTGGGTCAGCACTGGGGGAGAGGAGGGAGCGAGGGGAAGCGAGGTCGCCGCTGACCCCAGAACAGGTGCTACAACTCCCAGAGAGGATTTTCTGCAGAGGGCGGCTGTTCCACAGAGCTCCTGCTTTCAGAATGAGTCTGAGAGAGTGAGTCAGGTTCCTCTTTCTGGGTCATGTCTGTGAGAAGAGCCGGTCTGAATGTGATGATCAGTGAGATGTAGCCGGAACTAGGGCTGTGCGATTATGGCAAAAATCATAATCACGATTATTTGGGTCAATAATTGATATCACGATTATTTTGACGATTATTCATTGACCATTTATTAAACTTTAAAAGAAATAATATTTTACCAATAAACAAGGTCAACACATAATGGAGCGCACTTCCAAAACCATACTAAACATATATTAATATGATAAATAAAAATAAATTAGATCAAAATAAATTAAATCAAATATGTTGCAGTGCACTGTCACAACCTACTGACAACTCCTTAACATATAGCCAACATGGCCACCATGGCAAATGCTGGTAGGGCTGCTCATGTCATCTCTTAAAGATTTTTTGCAAGAAAAACCAGCCTGTTTACATGGTCTGGTTTCAGAGACGAGCGCAGGCAGGTGACAATATTGCCACCTGTACTGAAGACCCTCTCTGAAGAGGAACTTGTGGCTGGGATGCACAGATACTTCCTTGCCAGGATGGAGAGCCGTGGGTAGAACTTCCGGGATTCCCTCCACCACTTTAGTGGGTCCTCCTCAGCATCCAGTGGCACTGCCTGGAGGTAGGACTGTAGCTCAAGAGCTATGGCCTTGTCCTTTTCCAGAGCAGGTTGAGGTTCTGCAGCTTGGTCTACGGTGGCCTTGAAGAAGCTCCCCAGTCCCTTCTTTTTCTTCTTTGGTGCAGCTGCAGCAGCATCCTCCGTGTCATCTGCAGGCACCCGTCTCAAGAGGGGCGTTCTCCTTGGAGCATTATAAAGAAAATAAGAATGACATGTTTAATCAGACTAAATGGTTATGGGTATTAACATTTATACCTAGAATTACATTATAACACTTTGACAACACATTCATTCACTTAATTGTATTTACTGTCAAATCTGACATTTTTATTTTTTATTATTATTATTACCATGAGTGTCATCACCCTCCTCATCTCAGTTGTCAGGCTGGCTTCAATGGATCCTCGATTGTCCTCACTGACATATTTGAGCTTGAATCTCGGGTCCAGGGCAGAGGCCATGTCAAGCAGCTCTTGTGTCGCTGCGTCATCATATTTATCATTGAGATAGTCTAGTATCTTCTTTTTTATGCTTTTTGTGAGGTCTGTGTCATCCTCCTGCACTGCCAGCAATGAGTTGTTGAAGAGGTGCAGGGTTGGTTTAAAAAAAGACACACTTACATACTTCTCTCCAGAAAGTGCGTCTGTGAATTCCACCAGAGGGCTAAGCGACTTATTGATTGCCTCCAGTACATCAACGTCCTGCCACGTGAGGGAGAGATGTCTGGTTTTTCGGTCGCTGGAAAGGACCTGGGCAATGGCCTTCTGCTGCTCGAGGACCCTGTCGATCATGGCCTGCCTAGATCCCCATCTGGTTGGACATTCTGTCTTTAGGGAGTGTTCAGGCAGATTCAGCTGCTGCTGTGCCACTGCAAGTTCCCTCTTCTTTTTCCAACTGTAGGAGAAGCTGCTGACCAGCTTCTTGCAAAGCCCCATTGCACGGCCGATCCTGGGATCCTTCATTGCATTCTCTAAGATTACAACAAATACATATTATTTAGTATCATGATGATAATCATGATCTTCATCAAAGCATAATTTGGTGTGTTGTGTGTGTGTGAGAGAGAGAGAGAGAGAGAGAGAGAGAGAGAGAGAGAGAGAGAGAGAGAGAGAGAGAGAGAGAGAGAGAGAGAGAGAGGGAAAGAGAGAGAGAGAAAAAAGAGAGAGATGACAGAGTAGCTCACACATAACATAATAATAATAATAATAATAATAATAATATGTAATTAATATTATCATATTAAGAGAGAGATCATCAATGTTAATGACTTACTATTGCTATTATTGTTGTTGCTGTTGTTAAAATGACATATTACATACAACAGGAGGAAGGAATCCTGCTCACCTATGGCCAAGTGGAGTCTATGCCCGAAACACTGGAGCCTCATCCATCCATTGACCTCAGCCGCCAGCTTTATATTTGCGGCATTGTCCGTAGTCATACAGACGAGTTTATCCTCTTTTAACCCCCAAGCAGCCATCGCTTCCCTCAGTCCATGGGCGATGTTTTGCCCCGTGTGGTCTTCAGGGAAAAAATGCGGTTTGGAGACACTTTGTCTTCAAATTGAAATCGGCATCGATATAATGAACTGTGAGGCTCATGTATGGCTCCATGGTGCGGCTAGACCATAGGTCCGTTGTGGTGGCAAAGTAGTCAGCTGAAGCCACATCTCTCTCAACTTCCCCACGGCATTGTCATATAGCGCAGGCAGCGCAGACCTGCTGAAATAATACCGAGACGGCATCGCGTAACGCTTGTCCAACGTGTTGACAAGTTGCTTAAAGCCCTGGTTGCTAACAGTGCTAACTGGGCACATATCTTTAGCGATGTGAAATGTAATGGCACCTGTAATATCTCTGTGTCTCTGCGAGCTCGTCGCGTAGGCCGTTGCTCTGTGCAATGCGTCCTGAATCGATGACTGTGATGATGTTGTGGATGAAGTCGAGCGGGCATCTTTTTGGTCTGCTTTTTGTTGTATTATTGCCCCGTCGTATTGCACTTTGTGGTTGTATTTCAGATGATTAAAGAGATTGGTTGTGTTAGCGTGTGGTGCCAACACAACCTGGTAACAAATCCTGCACTGTACTTTGTTTTGCTCCACGTCGGACTCCTGAAAGCCAAAGTACTTCCAAATAGTGGAAATAGTTTTACCCTTCTTTTTAACGAGTTGCTGCTCTTGTTCTGACATCTTCGCTCGCGCTGAACACTCACACATGTCACTCCCACGTGGCCGAGTGGGCTTTTAGGGAGGGGTGAAAGCGCACCCAGCAAAATAATCGTATTTTGTCAATTATGCTGTTTTCATAATCGTCGCAAGCCATAATCGTAATCGCGATTAAAATACGATTAATTGCACAGCCCTAGCCGGAACAGACGACCGTGTGTAATGCATTGTGCTGCCGGTGAGATCAAAGCATCTCCAGAGGTTCATGTGAAGGGACACGCATCACATGTATGCATGTCTATATATATATATATATATATATATATATACGTCTGTTTCCTGCTTTTATATTTCATAACTCTCCTCTCTGTCTGTCTGCTCTCAGAGGCTGAAGGATGAGATAGCAGAGGTGACCAATGAGATTGAAAGCCTGGGCCAGAGTGAAGAGAGGTAAAGTATCTCTTAACCATTCCTGTGCGTGGGCAGCTGGGGTCCTCAGCCTTTGTTTTAGTGGAAGTGCACTCAGAGGGACAGGATCTGCCTGACGCTCAAAACAGAACGCGCTTTCAAAAAAATAAAAAATCTGAAAACATTATTAAGTTGAACAATATACAGTTTACTATGATGTAGAATGTAGAAAAGCAGCAAAGCCTCACATTTGAGAAACTAAAAACAGTGAATGTTTGCAATTTTTCTTAATAAATACTTTAAATGATTATCAAAACTGCCGTCTATTTTTTGGTCAATTTTACAAATCCATGTATTTAGTTCGGGCTCTTCATTTGTTTTTAGGAAAAGCATGCAGAGGAATAAACAGATGGCCATGGGCCGAAAGAAGTTCAACATGGACCCGAAGAAGGTGAGAATGATTGGCATCTTTAACAATCTTGTTTTACCGAAAAACCCCAAAGATATTTAGTTTACAAAAATACAAACACAAAAAAAGGACGAAAGTTGGTCAAATTTAAAATAGGTAATATACTGTATGTGTTCACTTGGTATTTGTTCCTCACTGGACAACATAACATTCATATTCAATGTATTCATTCTTTGTGAACGATGTTCAGACTGGGTTTCTTTTCTCCCTCAGGGGATTCGTTTCTTGATTGACAGCTCCCTTTTGAAAAACACCAGCGATGACATCGCCCAGTTTCTCTACAAGGGGGAGGGGCTTAATAAGACCGCTATTGGAGACTACCTAGGGGAGAGGTAAGTGTCATGTTTAATATTTACATTTTTGTAAATTTGTATTATTTACATTTTTAGTACAAAACACTGGGTTAGGGTTACAAAAAGACAGAAAACGTTGCTCCTTAGAAGAAAAAAAGGATATCATTTTTTCTTTGTGGGTTTCTTTCTAGAGCTGCCCATGTTTGTACACGTGCAGCATTATTGAGGACAAATCAGGAGCTTATCAATATGCTATTAGTAATCTGAATATGATTTAATAAGCTCATGTTGCATTAGCAGTTCGAAAAGATCATCCGTTAATCTGATTTGTCACATCTCATCCAACTTTTGTAGCAGCCATCTCGGATAGCTAAACAGAGCTGCATTCAGCTACTGATCCTGTTTTATTCCCTGTGTGTGTGTGTGTGTGTGTGTATGTTTGTGTGTGTGTGTCATGCAGAGATGACTTTAACATCGAGGTCCTGCACGCCTTCCTGGAGCTGCACGAGTTCTCAGACCTGAACCTGGTGCAGGCCCTCAGACAGTTCCTGTGGAGCTTCAGACTGCCCGGCGAGGCTCAGAAGATCGACCGCATGATGGAGGCGTTCGCCCTCAGATACTGCCGCTGTAACCCCGGAGTGTTCCAGAGCACAGGTTGGCTGATTTTCTGAAGTAGATCGATGTCATACCAACAAATCTGACTATAGGTAAAGTCCTGAAAAAGAACACGCACACTGATTGCGTCTTCTTTTACAGATACCTGTTACGTGTTGTCTTTCGCTGTGATCATGTTGAACACCAGTCTACACAACCCCAACGTGAAGGACAAGCCCTCGGTCCAGAGGTTCACGGCCATGAACAGAGGCATCAATGATGGAGGAGACCTGCCGGAGGAGCTGCTCAGGGTGAGAGACGTTTGAACAATGTTCCCCTCCAGTATATATTCGGATAGTAACAAAGTCTACTCGGTTTAAATACAGACAAAAATAATACCAAAACAAATCACACTGTGTCGTCCAGTTGATGTTCAGTCTTCTTACTGTGTAAACACTGCTGATGATGCAACTGGTAAAGGGGCGGCTAATTGTAATTCCATTATGTTCTGCAGAGGCGCTTAATCCATAAAAACACATAATACATTTAACTGATTATATTCTCTATCATTACTCTGAGAATGCAAAGTAACTAAAGCTGGGAAGATAAATGTTAATATTGTTAACATCCCATATCTGCTCATCGTCTCTGTAGAACTTGTTCGACAGCATCAAGAACGAACCCTTTAAGATCCCAGAGGATGATGGGAACGACCTCACACACACCTTCTTCAACCCCGACCGAGAAGGATGGCTGCTCAAGCTCGGTTAGTTCATGTGGTGTGGAACAGTGCAATTCATTTATTCAATTCATGAAATCATACTGTTGTTAGTCCCTGTGAGCTGTAAGGCCCTCTAGTGAACTGGATCTGTAACAGCAGATGAGCAGAACAAGTTGTATTTTTGTCGTATTAATTTGTGGACATTGTTTTTGTTTGTTTGTCTTTCATGTGTTTTTGATTCCAGGAGGTATGTACCTTTAAACCCCTCAGCTTTAATGCACTGCTTTTGCTTCTGAGCCCCCCCCCCCCGCCTTCCACTCCTTGCTTCTACCCACACTGGCTCTGTGCTTTCACCCTATGTCACAATTGGATTAAGATGAAAGAAAAATAACTCTTGGGCTGTATTCTTTAAAAAATATGGTTTGCAATTTGAAGTGGGGTTGTGTCAGCTGCTTGTTTAGAGACTGGCACAGGAGCTAAGAAATGTCCTGCTGTGGACAGGCATCAGAAGAACACATTTTAGCCTTCTCTAAACGAAAAGCTATTTATGTTAGTGTACAACATATTCATGATATCTTTACCTTTCCATCAGGCAGCCCGCTCTGACGGGGGACTGAAGCCGTTCTCTCCAAAGCAACCAGACTCAATTGTTGAAAACAGTTCTCCAAGAAACACACCATTATTCTCCGTCAGCCACGATCACTTAGTTTGTAGATGTTATTTTCTGACTTTGTTGAATCTGAACTCAACCCAAAGTCATTCACAACAACAAACAAATTAAAGGATTGAGTCAGAACAGCAACTCCCTTGTTCTGCGAGGTTGAATGACTGTTTTTGCCAATGTTGTCTGGCAGCTTTGAAGAGAGCATAACTGGGTATGAAGGCTTTAATTCCCCGTCGGTAAGGGCTGTCTGGCGGCAAGGTGGATCAAAGAAATGATTCTGAACATGACATACACCGATTTATTTTTCAAGGTAGGCCTGTCTTTTATTTGGCTTAAATATGATCCCTTTCCACAGCAGTACATGTCTCAGCTTCTGTATAAATGGGGCCCTGTTGACATCCATACACTGATGATATGGAGAAGAACCCCCAGTTCAAAACTCACAAACTATGCCTATAAGCCCAAATGTGCAAAGAAGTGATTTCACATCTGTTTCTAACTGCTGGCCTCTGACCCAAGTTCTAACCCTCCACGATGAGTTCCGCTCTATATTTAACTGCTGATGTGTGCCGTCACTGTGCTTCAGACTCGCTGCTGCTGCTGTATGAAGTTCAGCTTTCTGCTTCAGCAAATAAAATGTTATGTCTTCACTGCAGTCAGAGCTCACCTGTAATCTGTCCTCAGGGGGACGAGTTAAGACCTGGAAGAGACGCTGGTTCATTCTCACAGATAACTGCCTCTACTACTTTGAGTACACGACTGTAAGTAATTACCGCTTGGCTTAGAGAAGAGATAAATGCTGTATGAAGGCTTAAACGGAACCGAAGATGTATTCTCCTCTCTTTTGTTTACAAGGATAAAGAACCCAGAGGAATTATTCCACTGGAGAATCTGAGCATCAGAGAAGTCGATGACTCCAAGAAACCGGTAAACTATCTTCTCTTTGTGATGCATTTTGTCGTATAATTAAACTTTTCTGCTGTTTTACCCTCCAAATCAGGTCTTTGGTTGAGCTTTGTGTCGGAAAAGAGGGAAGGAAATGGCAGAAAAGTAAAACTACCATAAAACAAGATGGTGCAGGATAAAAATGCAGCTATCATTTGGTGACGTTCTCAAAATAAGTCCTTCAAATGCAAATATAATGTCCGGTCTTGCACTAATTGATTAAATATAGTAAAGTATCAGTTTGTTTTTCAGTTTATAAATCAATAATTTAAAGATTTGTTCCCTGTATTTTTTATCAGGAAATCTATTTGTATTTGAATGAGTGTTTTTGCTCCTTCCTGACTCATCTCGTCGTGCTGTTCTCCAGAACTGCTTCGAGCTGTTCGTCTCCGACCACAGAGATCAGGTGATCAAAGCCTGCAAGACGGAGGCAGACGGCCGCGTGGTGGAGGGAAACCACACTTTCTACAGGATCTCCGCCCCGACCGCAGAGGAGAAGGACGAGTGGATCAACAGCATCAAGTGAGCGGCACTTCAGCTCTCCCTTTGTCCTGCAGCGGATCACTGTACTGTCTCGTATCTAACCCTCCTTCCTCCTCCTCCTGCAGAGCCGCCATCAGCAAAGACCCGTTCTACGAGATGCTGGCTGCCCGGAAAAAGAAAGTGTCGTCTCTGAAAGGGCTGTAGCGCTGTGAGGATGAAACACTGTGGACCTGATACTCGTCCTCCTGTTGCAGGGACATTTGGACCTGACGGAGAGAAGTTTGCTTTTAAAGCTCTTCCTCTGTCCCCTTCAGTACCGACACCTCTCTCTCTCCAGGTTTGACCTTTTGTTTAAAGTTTCTCTCCCCATCTAGGAAGGACAGTGGTAGACCTCTGTCTTTATCTTCCTTTTGGACCCTTCTGCAGTGCTGTACCCCCTTTATACACTGTGGTACAGCAAGGCTCTACTACAGAGGCACTAAGAACATTATATGTTAGGAAGTTAAATATCAAAATGGGTGAGGGTGTAATATTCAGAGAAAAACATAATTTGGAAGGAAAAAGCTAGGAAGTTCTGTCTGTCTGAGAAAAAACAAGCAAACATTTATGTTATGAGATTATCAAGCATAACATTTAAGCGGAAACAAATCTGGAATTTCTCCGTGATAATATGGTAAATCTGGGTTGTGATCACAAGTACTTCTTATTGCAAGTTAATATTACTACAGGTCAATGACAGAATATGGCAAGCTGGGGCGTATTGCTGTGATGATCCAGCATGCTAAGTGAAGCGATGTGGTTCCCTTAAAAACAACCCGCAATTTTCGGTGTTAAATAACCCTTCTCCTAATAGAAGCTAATAACCTACAATGGCGCTGATAAGCCGTTGTTCTCCACAGCTCTACGAGGAGATGTTCTCGGTCAGAATGAAACTTTAATTCATTTTGTTTTAGTTGAACACGAGGGGGATTGGGCACCTACTGTTTTTTGATAAAAGCCTTTCTCCACCTTGTGAAAGTTGCAGCACATTTCAACACAAGGATGGGGATCAGATGAAGGAATCACATGGCACAATAATGTGATTCAGAGCAGCTTTCGGAGAGTCTGAAGTTTGAGGTCTTGGATTCAATTTCTCTTACAATATAGAAATCACATGGAAAACAAATGTTGTCATCTCGTTTGGGATGCTGGACTTTATTGTACAAAATGCTCTTTTCTAAATCAGTTTTCTTACTGCTGTTGGTCACATGTCAAAGCACTGTTAATGAAAGTGATGCATAAATAGCTAAATATTTATTTATCCAGATTTCTTGTAACTTATTATTTTGAGATTTGTCTCATTAAAAGTCTGAAAAACCAACTCATGTAACTGTTGTGATTCCTTGTTCATTTGCAATATATTGTGTTTGTATGTTGCTATAAAGCTGTGGGTAAGAGTGCACCAAACAAAAAGAGTCACACGTTTGAAGTCATTTTAAAAACTCGTCCACATCGTCCTTTAATTTACAAAGATAATCACTGTACATTTAGCTTTGATTACTGCTGTAAACTCTCTTAAAAACGGTTATTAGGCTCCTCCAGGGATTGTTTTTCTGCACCACACCCGTCCGTTTTATATCGCAGCTTGAAGAAATGCATTGCAGTGGTAGGAAGTAGTTTTTTTTTAAATGTTGTAGTAGAAAAACAGTTAAACTATAATGTGATGAAACATTAACAGCTGTGCAGGTAAACCAGGATCTGGAGTTTGATAAAAAAAAAAAGTGTACCCGCTGAATTCACCACATACATCTCCTGTATGTGTCAGTCACTTCCTGGGACACACTGATGAGAGTTATAGCCAAGGTGAGGTTGGAAACTCCCAGCATGCCGATGGTACCCGAGTGTCCCATCTGCGGACTCCGGTGTGACCTTCAACATCAAGACGAAAGGAAACCAAAGCAGTCTTTCTCCCTCTAAACATAAAAACACAGAAAGATGTTCAGTATTTTGTTGACTCTTCATTTACCTTACTACAATTTAAATAGTGACTTTTTTTTGAGGAACTGTGTGATGTGAAGGCTGAAAGAACAAAACAGGTTAACAATCCATTTTAACTAGTTTTATTGTAATATAAAACACAATTGTTGCAATTATTTTTGCACTTTCTGTACTTTAAATATATAATATAGAAGTGAAGTATGCCATAAACAAATTGTACAGAAAGTAGACGTTGCTACAAAAGTATTATTAAAAAGTAATAATATAGTAGCCCTGAAATGTCATTTAATGAAATAAAAGAAATCAGGCACATTTATTCTCCAAGTATAGTATTCCAAAATAAGAAAATACACTTGGCAAGATTTCTTTATCTCCTACCAGTAATGTACAAGCCCTGTGAGCATTATGTTAAACTGCTAATGGGTCACAAGTGGTTAGTTCAATGTGTGAAACCACAGTGGGAAATCCCAGTGTCACCACTAGAGGGCAGACGGCTCCACCCTGACTGAGGTGGTTCGTTCAGAGGAACCTGTTGTCTCTAGTTTCTAACAATAGACAGCCTGTGCTGACAAAAAGGACTTTCAAAAACATTCCTTTAACCGGTAAGGCTATTGTTGGAGACTGTTTGTTTTTTCCTCTGCCAGGAAAACAAGAAGAGATAAGTAATAACACAGGTGACAATGCCAGAAGATACAAAGCACGAATGAGAGAGGACAAACTGCTCCAGGAACCTAACAGACAACAAACAGTATCCAAAAGAACAGGAATTAAGTCTGAATTATATATAAGAAATACCTTGCCATATGTAAATAAGCATCAGCTATGTCATTTTAATATCCACTAAATCTTTCCTAAGTTTCTTGTATAATATATAAAAATGTTTATGACATGTCATACTATACTCTGACTTTTTTCTGACAGAAGATAACATTTGTTTTTTTTTCATTAAAAGAATCAGACAGTGTTTGTATTATTTGACACTAAAGAGCCTTTTCTGTTGTCTTCTAAATACGTTCTAAGTTCAACACAACCTTTAGCCTCAGGTTACAGATGCACAAACATCTGTTTGTTAGTGTCACCGTGCCGGTAAGTCCTTTCAACACGGACGCGTAAAACAAAAGGCCTGAATGTGCTGATGCTAATCTGTGCTGTGTGAAAGATGATCTCTTTACAACTGTTTCCTTTTGGCAGCGGATCACTCAAGATATTTTAGATTTCCTCGAATAAGTGCAGGTAGCGTTCAGAGGCCGTCCGTTTACCGTCATTTCTCAGCCTGTGAAACTTCCTGTTCAGAGAAACTGACAGAAAAAACCTGATACTGCAGCTTTCCTTTTGGCTAGGCCTTGACTTTATGAAATGAATACGTCTTCCTTTTCGAGTGAGAAGTTGATGTTTTAATGTCTTCCAGCAGCTTTTATTTCCACAAAAAAAACACATCTCGTAAAAGTGTTAATTCTTGCGATGAACTCCCTGACTTCACCTCTCCAGGTCCAGACTCGAGGTAACTGAGACCACCCGTCAGATCCTCAGCATACCCCGGTGCTGACTCACTTCTTGACAGGAGTGAATCAGCCCCTCTCTGTCCCCCCCGCTCTCACTGTGGTGCTCTGGGCTGCTGGGAAGGCGAGGACGGGACCTGAGATTTTAGACGCGCCACAATGACTGCAGGCATTTCAGAGAAGCCACAGCCTGTCTTACTGTGGGCGTGTGCTTCTGTGCAGTCTGCTCAGGGCTGAATGTTGTCTAGTAGGCAAAAAAATGAAAGCAATGCACAATGTAAAACAAATATTTTAAAGAGAAATTCTTATTTTCTGCAATTTAAGTGCACTTTTTGGGAAAAGCAACATTTTCATTCTATAAAAAGGGATTTCTCTGTCCAAATAATTAATTTTAGTTCAATATCTTCTCTTCTTTTAGCTCTGGTTTGGTCTCTACCAACTGAGGGAAACACTGTATCTGGGGGTAAATATCTGGCTCTTAAGCGGCTATATTCCTCACTTGGTTCATCAGCTAGTTTCTCACTTGTTTTAATTGTGCGGAGCAGGTAGTGTACAGTGTGTTGGGTATATTCACTGAAAACAGCAGCCCGTTGAGTCTGGAGCATTGATGGAACACGGAGAAAAACTGTTGTGGCTGAAAGAATCTAAAACGCTTTATACTGTAGATCTGAGTGTAACTGCAGAGCAAGGTCACAACTCTCTGTAGGTCATTTGATCAATTGTTTATTTAAAATAAATGATTTGCAAAACTTTTTTAAATGTCTAATAGGACTTTCTTTCATCACTAAAATAAAATAGGCTGTTGCTTTAAGGGCACTAGCTCCGCCAAAGCCATATCCTTGGTACAGCCTTCTATATAGTATTATAAAATTAACATCTTTGTTTGTTAATCCTGCTGACAAACAGGAAAAACCAATTAAACCAGAAGCAAATCCTTGATTGTTGAGGTATCATAGGTGAATGCTGTGTGTAGTGAGTGTGTGTGAGATCACCTGGTGGCGTCTCAGAAGAAGTTCTTGATGAGGGGAGTGACTAATTTCACCCACAACTTGACGTGACGGTCCGGCTGCTCGAACGTAGAGCTCGACACCTCGGTGGAGCGCTGATACAACCTCTCCTGCTCCTGAGAGGCACACAGTATAACACACAGTTCAACACACAGTTCAACACACAGTATAACACACAGTTCAAACACACAGTTCAACACACAGTATAACACACAGTATAACACACAGTTCAACACACAGTTCAACACACAGTATAACACACAGTATAACACACAGTTCAACACACAGTTCAACACACAGTTCAACACACAGTTCAACACACAGTATAACACACAGTTCAACACACAGTTCAACACACAAAATAACACAGGTGTGCGTTCAGTGCAGAGTCACACAGTCATTCATCATCATTTCCTGCGGTTGACCCACCTCCTGGAGCTGGCTCTGCAGCACCTTGTTCTCCGTCACTATGGCGATCTGGGCCTCCAGGTCACGGTGAACCGAGCGGTATCCGAAATTAGGGGAGCCAATTAGAGTGAGGCAAGGCCGGTCCTTCCCCTGGAGGTAATACCACAGACCTGTGAGGAGAGGAAGAGTGCAGCGAGCTTCAGAGAGACGCTTCCAGCAGGGATCTCAGACCACAACTAAGAGGAAGCACATGCAGAAAATCCCCAGCACAGATCCAAAACCCCAAAGCATGAGGGAGAGTGAGTGTACATCCTCGCCCCGGGGCTACGGCGCGATGAGTGTACGAGCCCTCCTCTCTCACGCTACATACCGCTGCGACCACAAGAAGAGCAGCGGAGCAGGGAGAGTGATGCGTTTTATTAGTTTCACCCAGCCAAACAAAACTAGTCTGGATGCTGAGCCCTGGATAATGCCACCTACACACTATGACTGTGTGGATCACATTAGAACACAGTCTGTCTCATAATGGGGAGTGTTAACTGAAGGAACCCCCGACAAATCTGTCTGTTGTCAGGGAGTCAAAAAACAGGCGAGAAGTGAAATGGGAACAGCTGCCAGACCTAGAATGGATGTCTGCAAGTAGCTAGTGCTACAAGTTGTTTGTCTGTGATTTGTAGCAGAGCAACATCAAGGAAGAAAAAGAAAAGAATATGCAGAGAGAAAATGTATACGCTTGTCATAACGTAGGTAGCTGACTGCAATTGTTGTGGCTTAACCAGTATATATTTGTGCAATGGCTTTAGGTCACTGCTGTCAATGCAGGTCAAGATGTCCACACTGCAGACAGGCCACGATGGATGACCTGATACTTCTCTTTTCGATTGCTCCTTTATAATTCTCAGAAGCAATGAACATAATTTACTTGCATCCCTTTGTCTCAGTTTGTCTTGAAAAACGTCCTTGTTGACTTAAAATCACTTTAAAATAATCCCACTGTCAAATATTCTCAGTTTCCTGCTTAAGTCTAAAGAAAAATACTTCTTTTTGTAAGCTTATGTGCATATATGGCCCTGTCAGTACTATATATACAGATGAACTGTATGTCCCTTGATCTGTTTCTAATCATTGAGTATCACTACAAGCTCTGCTGCTGATCATGTGAGGATGTGACCATAATGCCAAATGCAGATTTAAATGTACAACTGAATTGAAGCGCTCTAGACGTGTGTGTGTTTCTGAAAATGAGAATCTTTAGGCTTTTATAGAGGTTCAATTTGGCTCAGGGCATATTTTTAGACAACTTTTACACTAATTAGTAGTTGAAAAAGTAATTACCAGAAGATCATGACCGTTAGTCGTTGATACAGGTAGGTAGGTGTGTGTGTGTGTGTGTGTGTGTGTGTGTGTGTGTGATCCCACCTTTGGCGTGGAAGGTCCACTCTGGCCGGTGGTACTCGTGCAGGTGTATCCTCTCCTGCTGGCCCAGAGAACACACCTGGTTGTAGAACTGCCTGGCGATGTGCACGTAGGCCGCTGGGATGGCCCCGGCCACGCCCTTGGCTCCGAAGAAGCCGTTGACCTCGGGTGAGGCGGTGAGGATGCGGTACCCGGCGCCGGCCCCGAGCACCAGACGCATGTACGCCCGCGTCAGGTTGAAGTACCCCGACGTCAGGAACACGGTTGAGTTCGGCCCGGCGTCTGTCAGAAGGCGCTGGAGGGGAAATAACGACAAAATGGTTTTATTTCCAGAACTTATGAAGAATAAAACACTAGCTTTGACCTGAGGCTGGTTATTAGTGTTTTATTATCGCTTATTACATAAGGCTCATTATAGAAGAATCTATCAAGACTTGTCATATTTATCTTGATAACAATAAAAGTAATATGATGATATTTCCTTCTTCCTGTTGGCTCACGTCTGATTAATTGTGTCTTGATTGAATACTGTATTTAGAGGTGGAGTTTGGCTGGGTTCCGTTTGGGTGAGAGCTCACAGGTTATTGTAGCTTATCTGTATTAGAGATTAATAATAAGTTTGTTTAGTGTCAAACCATTTCATTTTTATATTTAAAGAATCTGGGGCATTTGTTCCCAAAAGAAAAAAACATGAAACCAAATTGATTAGTGTTTATTCTTATTTATTTATTTTTTGAACGTATAAAATAGTTATGGACCCACTATTTAATGTATTTCATGGTGCATACTACCAACAGGTCATTTTCTTTCTCTCCCTATTTTCAATATGTTCTGCATCTGAGACCTTGTTACCTATTTAAGCAACAGTGGTCAACTCCTTCTTGTGGAAGGAAACAGCAAATGTTTAATCTTCTTCTTTTAAGAAAGGCTGGCACTTCTCCATCTGCACATCAGCCACATCACCACTGCTTGATTCAAAGCAACCAAAAGTGAACTACATATTGGAATAAATGAAGCCTGTTGCAACAAGTTGTTTCTTTTTTGGTAAACGGCAGATGAGACACTGTTGAATCAACTTTGTACAGAACAAGCCTCTGTTATTAAATTACAGTCATCACTCCCAGAATAAGTGACTAATAAACCCGGAATAAATGCTCAAACATTTATTCACTGGTTATTGGTACATGTCTCATTTTATTAGTCACATGTCCAAATTAAACCCATCAACCTCAAAATAACCTCTTTGTAATTATATTGCCACTGGGGGGGGGAAATAAAAAAGGTCAATTTAAATAAAGCACTGAAGACAATGAAAATATTTAACAGTTTGGTCAGAGTTTATACATAAGTTGGAACCCTTGCCTCTCACTTGGGCCATCTTTGGCTTTTTCAAGTTTTGATTTGACCGTGTTAATGCAAATAAGGCATGAATTCGAAGAGTTGTTTTTCCAATTTTTGAAGTTCAACCTCAGCTCCTGTAATAAGTCTATAATGAACTGTGAAGCCAACATACAGACACACAGTCCCAATGAAACTCATTAAAACCAGAAATGTCATATGCATACTGTTATGCGAGGCCTTTAATTTGAAGCCCTGGCTTACAAGTTGTAGTTTTTACTAGTGGCTTCCTGCACAAAAACTACAAATGCCAGAAAATCAATAATAGAAATATGACAATTGGCATGACATGTTCATAATTGAGACAAAATCCTGTTAGCATTTAGCATAAAGAGTGGCATTATTTATAACATATGACGAACATCACACAAGAGACATTAAAAAAGATACAATTCTGAAAATGGTTGAATAGTGGGTGGTTATTATGTTGATTTAAACATTTAACTCTATGAAAGTGGACAACAATATTAGTATATCGTTTTATGGTGGCTTTTGAGGCGGTCATATACATGTTTGGTTAAAATGTGACCAATGACAGAAGGTCGCTGTGTGTGCGTGTCTGTGTGTTGAGCCTGACCTGTGTGACCTGCTCGTCCACCTGGATCCCCAGAGGTTTCATCTGCACCAGAGGGAACACCCAGGTGTCCTCCCCCCCGTCGCTCAGCCCCCCGTCGCTCAGCCCCTCGTCCTCAGAGTCCTCCGGCCGGTTCGTCAGCTGCTGCCTCATTTGGGCAGTGTTCACCACCTCCATGATGCGCTTCTTCGCCGCCGTCGAGAAGTCTTGCCGGTTGCCTGCGGAGACAGAGCGTAAACAAAGCTGAGGAGGGTCACACTGACCTCTGGGTCACAGTAACCCAAGGGTGCTTGGGATTATTTACAGCCACTTAGGGGCATGAAGCAGAAAGGAGGATGTTGTTTGAAATGACAACACAACCTCAGCAAACGAGCTGGAAAATGCTTGTTTCTGATTGGCTGGCAAGTGACCATTAAAACTAGTAGACTAGATATCTTACAAAGGTTCTGGTATAAGTCTAAAAGGTGTTTTCAGACAGAGAGCAAAGGAAATGTTTGACCTGCATGACGCAGAAGACCAACAGATTACTCATTATCAAACACGTGCACTCTGTGAACACTGACAAAGAAGAGATGTGGGGCAGACAGTATTAATATACAAAGTTATAAGAAACATGTTGCCCTCAATAGAATAAAAGTTTAACATTTTCAAAATCATGCAATCAAGGTTTTTTAACAAAACTCAACAGTGCCTCAGGGAATCGATTCTGTGTCCAGTGACTCAGAAAATCTTGTTATTTGGTTGAAATTACCGTTTAAACTGCCAGTTACTTCACAGGGGCCGTTTCTCAATGTCGAGTAGAGCTGCTGCAGAGCCACTATTTCAAGTATACTACGTCATCGAGTGGCGCCGAAGGACTGTTTAAATGCTGTTTAAATGCCCAGCATTCGGCGCCACTCGATGACGTAGTATACTTGAAATAGTGGCTCTGCAGCAGCTCTACTCGACATTGAGAAACGGCCCCGGACTCTGTTTTGTTATCAGTTGCTCACCAACTGACTCAAACGTCCTCTTCCTCCTCCTCCGTTTTTTCAGTACGTCAATGTTTTATCAGTTGTTAATGTTTTCACTAGATATTATGCATGTCAGCTCCATATCGTCTTTCACCCACACTGTGACATCACAACTCTATTCCTGGTGTTCGTTACCACGGCGCTCAAGTCCTGTAGACATGATGTCATCCATCCCTCAAACTCACATCCTGGCAGTCTGCGCTCCAGTTACGGACACAGTACTGGAGTGTGTGTGTGTGTGTGTGTGTGTGTGTGTGTGTGTGTGTGTGTGTGTGTGTGTGTGTGTGTGTGTGTAGAAAATTCTGACAATTTCACATCCGGCTGCATGGCTAGCCAACCGCAATACCTCTCTCGATCATTCTCACTGTACAAACACACACTCTCACACACGCACACACACTGACCATCATCTATTTGCCTGTCTAAGCTTTCAGGCTCCATTAGCGTAATCCATCGGCTCCTCTTTCTGAAAACTGGGACACTGCCACCGTTACCGAGCATGAAGTGTCAAAACATGTTGGAGGGTAAACATGCGTCTGTGTGCTGTACTGTACACACACTTACGTGCATGCGTACGTAAACACACACAGGTCCCGTTTCTACCTTTGTACGGGTGCACCATGCCCTCCAGCATTGTGACCGAGTCGTCGGGCTGCAGCTGCAGAGAGACGTCGCCCACGGCCTCCACCAGATCGGCGAAGAAGTCGGCGACCTCCCCGCAGTTCTCCAGCAGCACGTAGCGGTCCTGTCTGTTGGTGAAGTACGAGTCGCTCAGGTTGGCCCTGAAAGAGAGGGGGGGGGACCTTTAATAAACCGGGGCAACACAACACTGACGAAAGAGGAAAAAAGGTTGTTTGGTCAAATGTCTTTCTATGAGTGTAAAACGGGTTCAGAAAAATACACGTAATCCTTTGGTCATCTTGAAAGAAAATGTTCTACACATTTTTTTAATTATTATTAAATTATATATATATATATTTATTTATTTTACATGTAAATATACATTTTCTTTCCCCACTACTTTTTGTTGTCATAATTTTCGCTGGATTTTTCTTAATTATGTTTAGATTTCCTTTTTTATACATCCATTTTTTTTGTTTTTTTTGTTATCCCTAACGTTTCTCCTTAAGTTTAGGGAAGGTCAGTTGTATGAACCTGTGGCTTCTTGACCTCTCCTGATACAAATATTATTTTTTCATTATCTGGATTTATGCAGACTTCTATCTGTGCGGTCACATTTTGGATCACATTCTGGTACATTCCATTTGAATTATTTGTATTATCTTTATTAGAATGTTGCACCTTTACAAGGCAAGGCAATTTTATTTATATAGCACCTTTCAGCACGCGACAATTCAAAGTGTTTTACAAAATAAAAACAAAAGACATTTAAGAATAAATACAGCATAAACACATTATTAAATGGCATTTAAAAACAGGCATAAAAAAGCAAAGATAATGAAATAAAGAAACACAGCAGGTACAGAATACATGAATAAAAGGCATACTGCAGTGTACAGCTCAATTAAAAGCAGCGGCAAATAGATATGTTTTTAGTCTGGGTTTGAAAATAGGAAGTGTTTCAGTGGACGTGCATGATTTGGGCAGTTTGTTCCAGATTGTCGGGGCATAATAGCTAAACGCTGCTTTTCCATGTTTAGTTCTTGTTCTTGGAACAGAGAGCAGACCCGACCCAGAGGACCTGAGACTCCTTGATGGTTCATAGTTATGCAGGAGATCGTTTATATACCTCGGTCCAAAGCCATTTAGTGATTTAAAAACTAGCAATAGAACTTTAAAATCAATTATTTGGCCGACTGGAAGCCAGTGTAAAGATTTCAGAACCGGACTGATGTGATCCAATCTTTTAATGTTAGTGAGGACTCGAGCAGCAGCGTTCTGAATCAGCTGCAGCTTTCTGATGGATTGTTTTGTCAGCCCTGTGAATACACTATTGCAGTAGTCGAGTCTACTGAAGATGAAAGCATGGACAAGCTTTTCTAAGTCCTGTTGCGACATTAGTTTTTTAATCCTATATATGTTCTTCAGGTGATAGTATGCAGACCTAATAACTGTTGAAATGTGACTGTTAAAATTCAGGTCCGAGTCCATCACTACACCCAGATTTCTTGCTTTGTGAGTTACTTTGTAGTCTGTCGACTGAAGCTCTGCGATTACTTTTAATCGGTCCTTCTTTGCTCCAAAAACAATGATCTCAGTTTTTTGTTTGTTCAATTGGAGAAAGTTCTGAGTCATCCAGTCATTGATGTGCTCAATGCACTTGCTCAGTGTTCTAATCGGAGAGTAGTCTCCCGGTGTAATTTTAAAATAAATCTGGGTGTCGTCTGCATAGATGTGATAGCTTAGATCGCTGTTTTTAATAATTTGAGCCAGTGGTAGCATATAGATATTAAAAATCAAAGGTCCTAAGATGGAGCCTTGAGGAACCCCGCATGACATATTTGTCAGGGTTGATTTGTAATTGCCTATCGAGACAACGTTTTTTCTGTCCTTTAAGTAGGAACTAAACCAATTTAGAGCTGTAGCTGAAACTCCTACCCCAGTTTTCTAGACGGTCTAGCAATATGTTGTGGTCAACAGTATCAAACGCAGCGCTGAGATCTAATAATACTAACACTGATATTCTGCCACTGTCTGTGTTTAAATGGATGTCATTTAAGACCTTAACAAGAGAAGTCTCAGTGCTGTGGTTTGGTCGAAAGCCCGACTGAAACACATAAAAACCGTCAGTTAAAAACATGAAATTACTCAACTGTTGAAAAACAACTTTTTCAATGAATTTGCTTAAAAAGGGAAGGTTTGATATTGGCCTGTAATTATTCAGGGTTATGGCGTCTAGGTTATGCTTTTTCAGGAGCGGTGTAATTACTGCAGTTTTCAGGGCCTGTGGAAATACACCCGAGTGGAGAGACTTGTTTACTATGTGAGGCCAAGCAATGAAAAAACAGTTTTGAAAAATCCTGTACAAGAGAAGAGACTCAAAAGATGAGGACTCCACAGGACTAGTTTGAAATATACAGAATAATCCACCGACCCGCTGATGATGATGCTGTCGTCGAACAGGTAGACTTTGATGTGCTGGACCCCGATGGTCTCGTTGAAGCGCTGCGGGACGAGCAGCCGCAGCAGCCCCCTCAGGTCGGGGGTGTGGTACAGAGAGACCCTCATCTGAGAGGTGAAGCGCTGCAGCAGCGGCAGCAGCATGGTCCTGGAGTTGATCTGTCCTGCAGGGAAAACATGAGCACAGCAGGAGGATGAGCGCAGGGTGCTAACCAGAGGAAACACAAGAGATCTGATGAGAGTGAAAACAACCTCTAGAGCCGCGGGTGTAATCCAGCAGCACGGACACCTTCAGGTCGGGGGAGTCGCTGTTGTCCTGTGAGCGCTGCAGGGCGTCCTCCATGCAGTCCACCTTCACAGACACAGGGGAAGCATTGAAGAGACAGCAGAACATGAGTTAAAGGGTAATGCACAGATTTAGCTGCAGACGTATAACACTGTTAAACTCACAATGGACGATTTAAAAGAAAGACATCAAAATCACTGCAGCAAAATATCGTCATTTTCAACTAACGACTTATTATTCTTGGTCAGAAATAGACAGCAAGACTTTGAAAATACATGTTCAACAACCCCTTGCACAACGCGGTCTTAAGTAGCACTTAAGTGCGGGTCTCAAGTAGGAGAAAAGTAATCAGCAACAATTTCAATGAATAAGCATTTTTAAGTAATTAGTCATGCAAAATACATGAAAATCTTAGTTTTCAACTTCTTAAAATGAGAGTATTGAATACTTTTCTTTTTGCAAATCATTGTAAATATAATATTATTGATATTAAGACATTTTATAATTTGTATTTAATTAAGTATGAAGCATAAATCAAGGTAACACCTACTTTCACAATTGCCTTATTAATTGATGGATTGATCTTTAACTCCTGTCATCTTGTTTAGACTTCTCACTCCTTGCCATTGTGAATAAAATATCCCTTTTTTGTGCGCAGATGCGTTTCCTGTGTTGCTGCTATAACACCTGAATTTCCTACGGGATTCAATAAAGATCTATCTTATCTTATCGTATCATATCAGTTGTTAACTTGAAATGATTCATGTTGGGAAGCCAAGTTTTAGGTAAGTAAGATTGGACTGATATAAACGTGAAATTAAAGCAAGCTTCAGACTGTGAAGTTATTTCTTGAACAGTTCTTCCAGATAAGGCCACTCAAAGAAACACACAACTCTTATCTGGTCTTCCTTGTTCTTGCCACACTTCCCAGTACTTGAGTATTTGTGAATGTTCTTAGGAGCAGTAGATTATTGATTGCTATGGAGCAGACACGGTTTATTAATCACTGGCACCCTTTTGTGAGTGAGCGTGGGAAAAGCCATTAGTGCACAAGAGGAAATGCTCTTCAGAGGGCATCACTGGTAGCGAAGTATCTATTAGTGACGAGCTCGGCATTTGTTCCCCACGTTCGACTAAATTGGGCATCTGGTGCCCAAATGCATTTTTTATACGTCACTCTCAGAACCTTGAGGCGATATATCCGACTGTTCTGTAGAAACAAAGGCCTTTGTTGGAGCCATTTATTTTTTAATACTACAACATGTTTTTTATTGCTGTTTTTGTTTATATTGCATTTCAAATTATTTATTGAAATTATTTAAGTTAAATTAGAGTTCATGCTTTTATTTTGAAGGCAGTTTTGGGCACCTGGTGATAGGCATACATTGGAGACAGGTGGTGGTGGGATTAGAGCACCAGTGTCAAAGGTCAAAAGGAGAAGTCATTGTTCTGTTGGATTATTGGGACGAAGAGTAAATAAACTGCACAAAAGTATATTCTCGCTTGGAAAAGGTATTATTATTCCCTGCGTCAGATTAGCTTGTGCCTCAACGGCAGTTTTAGTTTGAGTTAAACTGTGGTTTCATTTCTTTATTTCGCCCCCACAGCCTTTATACAGCTTTCCTAAAGATATGCAGTCAACCTTCCCAGCTTTGCATATGGTGTGCTAAAGATAAAACACACTTTTCTTTAGAATTTCTGGTTATTCTTGCCTGCGCTTAAAGTCAACACGCAGCAGCGCAGGTGCGAGCTTCAGTATCAGAGGAGTTCATTTTGTGCTGCGCCTGTGATTGGGTGTTGTGTTAGCTCACCTGCAGTTTGCATTCTCCAGGCTCAAACCACAGACTCACATTTCTGCTCTGAATGGAGTTAAGGTCATTGTGTCCAATTACAAGCAAACCTGAGCTCGGAAAACAAAAATCACATGGACTCACTCACTGTGCCTTATTGACTCCATTTTTCTAGTGATCCATCATCCTGTGAGGTTACGGAGTTTGGCAGCAATCACAGCAGATTTAAAGGCTCTTAACTGTAATTAAACGTGTTTCACTTGTCTGTGTAATTCACCCTCTGATTCTCCAAGCAGATAGAAAAAACAAACATGAAAAACAGCTGAATGTGAGCGTCGGTCCAGACTGTGGTTTGTTCTGGGTTTATGTTGTTATGCGAGGCCTTCCAAGCATGAAGAACAGCGGGATATCACGTGCCAACTCTGGCCTTCTTATACCCTTGCAATTTAAGGGTCATTCCTTGTAGCTGGCCTGGCGTATTTTCCCTCTGAACAAACCACACTGTGCTTCTCCTGGAAGAAGACTCTGACTCACACTTTCTGGCATCACTGACCAGTTATTTGGCACACGCTTGTGTTTGGATGGCGTTCTTCTCACCTGCCAAAAACTAAAAAGTCTTTAAAGGGCCTCTAAACATGAATCACACACTCGCACACAAACGCTGTTTTTCTCACCAGCTCCTGCTCCAGTTGACCCGTTCCCAGATACAGCGAGGCCATCACCACCCGCCTCTTTGCGGTCTTGATGCGCGCCTGAAGGGAAGAAAAACAAACACCACAATGTACGTGGGTGTCAGGAATCTTGTAACAAATATCTGACAGTAACACATGATTAATGGTCATACTAAAAGGTCATTTTCTGTATGTCACATGACCACGCTGTCAGTCTGTATGCACAGGCAAACTAACCACATTCCCTCGGAGCCCCTAGCAACAAGCAAATAATAACAAAACTAAAAACCTTTTAAAAAAAAAAAAGAGCGAAAAATATCCCTTTTTCTTTTTTTAAACATATTCCTAGTAATCCTGGGTTTGATTGTAAACATGTTAGGTGAGCGTTTCGTTGTGTGTCATTTATGGAACTATGTATGATATTGTTTCTTTAATCATTTCTGAAGCCTTTAAAAGAGTGAATTGCTCCTGATTAACTGGCTGGTTGTTTTTATCTCAGGCGTTTTATTGTGAAATATAGTCTTTAACAGCAATTTCCCCATCTTAAAAAATGTTTTCTCCCTTGTCAAATAATAAGATAAACTTAACGTAAATGACATTTGCAAAGAATCTATAGAACAGTAATAATGTCCTGGTTATTTTAAATAATCCACAATGGACAGTTTTCAATGGGAATGCTTCTTCAATAGAAAGCACTGTGGAGGAATGTTACCAGGATGTTGTTTATCGTAACGCCACGCCAAACAATTATGTTGATCATATTCTTTGATTAATCTCAAGACCTTGAAAATGACATGAGGAACGAGAATATATAAAAGAATGCGTATCTTATTTTTATAGCGCGTGATTTCTAGTTTTTCAGTTGAAGGCGACAAAAGAAAAAAAGTGTTCTTTGAATATCAGTCACTTTCTTTTTCACTTTGCTCAGGGCGCTACATTTTGTATTAGCCGTCTCCTCACGTAGTATGTCATTATGATGCAGCAAATCATTTGGAAACAATCAGAGATGAACAAGGAAGTGAACAAAACAATTCCATTCACAATTCCCAGCCGTCAGTGGTATGGGGAAATGTTCGTGGAAAATAGATGACCTGTTTTTAAGATTCAAAGCCATAAAAAAATATATACAGCTCTGGAAAAGATTAAGACACCTCTGCAGCAATCAATTATCTTTTATTCTATAAACTACGGACAACATTTCTCTTTGTTGGAATTCAACACTGGGATGGAATGGCTGCCATACATGTAGAGATTGAGATTTAAGAAACACTTTGAGTGGTCTCTTCCTTCTTTCCAGAGCTGTATAAGGGTATATGACGCAGGAACGTAAATATTAAAACGTGAATAAAACCCTTGAACAATGTGTTAGCCGAGGGAAGCTGCAGATTCCTGTTTCTTTGTTCCTGGAGCGGCTGAACGGGCGAACGTTCGAGGAAACATAAAAGGATTCCTATGTGGTGACACACAGCAGGTGTGGGATTCAGTGATGATATAAAACTCTTGTCGCCTCTCTCCTATGATTCACATTTAGTTTGCAGGATGATACATTTCCTATTTTTGTTTAAAGTTAGAAACACTTAAAGATTATTTTTCATCAAACTTGAAATAGAGTTGTACTTATAAGACGCGTGAGTAAATCAAAGCACAAAAGGATGTTGCCGGTTCATCCAAGGTTGATTCAGGAACATGAGGCCTAGTTTACGATTAAGATTGCAAATAATGATAATTAATGTCCGATGGTTTTCCAAAGAGAAACGTCAACATGTAATGTAATGATCTAATTAACAACACCGCCTTGTGAAGCATCTAATAATATTAGATTAAAATCACTGAATCTAAATGGCCAATCACATCAATCGACACGATAGGCCAATTGTACAAACTAGTAAACATTATTTTTTCCCAGGGACAGTTCAGCCCCGGAAAATGTAAACTTCATATTTGTTTTTATTGTTAATTTATCAAATCATCATTGTATATGTGTGAATTGCAGATTGATGGAGTCAGCGAAAGACTTTCAATCCCTGATGAAGGCTTAATATTGAAACATGTTAACGTTTTCTTTTTATGTCCAAAAACAAGACCTACATGAACAAAGGAAGGTCTGTGGATTAGCATGGGTAACCCGTCATGTTATATTTGGGGCGCCGCATGCTGAGTGCCATCTAGTGTCATCATACATGTTGATTTGTGTGAATTGTCCCTTTCAGTTTTCAAGTGGATTATATATTTAGCACATATTAGTTGCAACGTTACGATGACAGGTCTTTTTAGAGCCGAATTATTAACTGCCAACTCGGTCAGAGTCTGCCGGGAAGAAAATACTTCCTCAAGCACACTCACATTCCTCAAGCACCTTCTCCCTTTGTTACCCCACATGATGATATTGAACATCTGTGTAACATCAATACTGGTAGTTGTTCAGTTAAGCTCTGTTTTCATTCCTTTGCAGCTGAACCAAAATGGTAACTTCTTGGTATCACCGACCTTCATAGCCTGGTAGAACTGGTCAGGCGAGGTGAGGATGTGGATGTGGGTTCCCGGCACCCGAAAGGCAGGTACGTGCTCTGCCATCCATCGGAAGTGGCCGAAGAGTCCCTCTGTGCCCTGAGCTCCGGCGGACCCCGCGGGCCTGGAGACCCGTCGGGGGGCCGGGTCGGCTTCGGCCAGGAGGGGGGCCAGCAGCAGCACCGAGGACCTGCAGGGAACAAGGGGGAGGAGTTGATTTGGGGTTTGGGATTTTAGCCGTAGCAGACCATTTACATGCACAAAAACCTATACAACACACACTACAGGAAAGGGAAAACCCAAATAAGTATAATAAGCCCTTTACGTTTTTTTTAATCAACTTGGAATTAGAAGCGGAGAACGAAATGAGTTTGGAGCTGCTCTGAAGCGTTCGATCATATCACACAACCTTCCTCTGCAGATAGAGCTTGTGGTGACGCTGTTGTGCTCATCATTCAGATTATTTAACACGCAATTGTCCATCACGCTGGATATTTTCTTGTCATAAAAATATTGTTTTAAATACAGTGGTATCAATGTCAGCCTGCATGTAGCCATATAGTAACTCTGTGAAAGATGTCGCCCAAGGTGAACCTGACTCTTGGCAGGGAAGCTCTGCGGCCTGAGCTGACACCTGGCAAAGGTACATTATGATCAAGTGCAATTAAATGAGAGCAACCAGTTTGACTTCTTGGTTAATGACTTTTGTCAATAAAACGTCACGAAATAGGAACAAACACATCTCTGTAATAACTTCCCACAGTTTGAGGATCAACAGTCTAAAACGCAAAATATTTTCAGCTAACTTTGATGAAATCACCAGTCTTGGCTTTTTTGCTGTAAAACTAAAAAGACTGAACACAAAGTATTTAAGAAGCAGTCAATGCAGCAATGAATATTTTCATATTAAAACATTTTAGGCAACTTGAAACCACCCCCTCTTTATTTGTCTTTTACTGTGCGTTTGTCTATAATTTATTTATTTTTGGTCTTTTTTTTGTAAAAAGTTTTGAATTCAACTTTAAAATACAAACAATAAACACAATAAAAAAATAACTATCAGATCATCTTTCTGCTGATCGAACAGTGTGTTTGGATTTTCGTTCTCGGTGTCCTAAAATTCCCCCCCGAACACCACATCCCTGTTGTCTCTGCCATACAATCTGCCTGACAATGCAACCACATTAAATAAAGACAGGGTAGGGTGTGAACCTCAGAGGCTGAATGTCTACTAAATTCCTTCATATTCATTGCATCCAACACACACACACACACACACACACACACACACACACGCACACACACACAAACACACAGTGTACATTTTGGTTTGGATTTAACCCACAAAAACAACCTGGAAGAATGTGGAGGAAACAAAAGTCACATAAAAACAAAGATCACAGCTCAGGGCTTCTTTCCAAAGCCACTCTGCTGAGCTAGAACTTCTTGGGCGAGGGGCTTTCCCCGGTGTTTGGAATTTGAGTCCTATCTAAAATACGCATATCACTCAAGATAAAAAACCATAGCGTGAGAGAACATCCTCGTGCCGATGACGCTGAACTTTCGGCATTTTGTACAGCGGTGCAAATGACTAACGTTATTACATTACATTACATTGCATTTACATTACATTACATTTCATTTAGCTGACGCTTTTATCCAAAGCGACTTACAATTACCAATTACAGGGACATTCTCTCTGGAGTAACTGAAGGCTAAGTGCCTTACTCAAGGGCACACTAGTGGTGGTGTTCCTTAGCTGACGCTTTTATCCAAAGCGACTTACAATAAGTGCATTCGACCAAGAAGATACAAACTTGAAGAAAACAGAATCATATAAGTACATCAGGTTTCATAGAGCCAAAACATTTCAAGTGCTACTCAACTGGTTTTAGATAAGCCAGTCCTTTGTTAGTATATAAGTGCTTTGTTAGTAATTCTATCGCTCGAAGTGGAGTCGAAAGAGAGGGGATCTATAAGGGGAACACATGGAACTAAGTAATAGTTATGGGCCCCTCAGCTGACGCCCGATCCTTTACAATTGTCTGTAAGTGGTAAAAGATAAGAGATAAGAAACACACTTTGAAATTATGTTTCAGATTTTCATTTTAGGACTGTTTATAGTGATATCAAATCAATTTATACCTCAGAGAGACCACAGTGAAATAAAAAAAAACTCTATAAAACTCATTCCAAAGGGATTTTAAATCATAGAAAAGGACGCAGATGTTTCAATTTTTCTCATCAACATCCATACAAATACAGTTTGTTATTTAAGCAGGACATCTAAGAAATGTCATTGAATTGAAATGAAGTGCTCATATTTAATGAGGTTAGAGGCAAAGTCAATGCATGACTGTTGTTAGTGCGATGAATAGAGGAGCTGTTTTTACTTTGGTGTGCGCCAAATCCCTTCTGATGTGAATCATGTGATGGAAACAATGCTGTCGTCTGTCTTCCTCGTTTTGCTAAATTCCCTGATGGGAATCTCATTGTGTTTTAATAGTTTTTACATCCGCATTTGATTCGGTTAGCAAACTGGAAAAGCCGGTCTTTGTCTCCTTTTTAAAGTCTTAACATTTACAACCAAGTAATCATTCATTATCTTAGCGCTATATGCATATTTAGAAAACACTTTTTATCATATGGCCATGACACAGGAACATGAGGCGCCAACTGCAAAACCATCGTCATGAATCTGCTGCAGCTATATCAGTTTTTGCACACCATGGTGCTGCATTATCACTTAGTAAAAAGTCAATGTGACCACAGTGAGGCACAACCACGTGCTACAAAGACGTTCAACACTAAGGACAATTACAGTGAGAGATAAATAGAAAGATAAATAATAAACAGGCTCCAACCTCCAGTCTAAGATTAGGACAAGATGTTTTAATAACTTGACATGTCACATCAGTGTTTCCCCTATATACAAATAGCGGCGGCTAAATATTTTTTTTTACTTTTTATTTCTTTATTAAAATAATAATAAGTGGCGACCCTTTTTCATTTTTGATTGTTTGTCATGTGGATTTGTGTTACTGTATGTTCAATAAAAGGTGTATTTTTGCTAAATCTTGAGACATTGCCACTGTATGTACTAGGCAGGGCCGATTTTTGGCCCTGCCTAGGGCGCCAGATCTGGGGGGGGCTGCGCTGGCAGCTCTGGGAGGGGAAAATACATTTTTGACCGTTGGCGCTCATCCTAATTTTCGGCCTTGATGTAACAACATTCATAATTAAGTAAATGTAACACCCTTTTCACCCCGGTTACACTTTTCATTTGCCCTGTACGATGGGCGCTGTAAGTGATGAAAGTGGGGGATGTTGGCTTATCAGGCGCCCGCAGCTCACAGCCAAAGTGCGAGCATGGGAGCGAGAGAGCGAGCGAGGGAGAGAAAGAGAGAGGGCGCACCGGTACCGGCGCTGTTGTTATTAGAATCTGGTGCTAGCTGCGCTAACGGATATAAGAAGAAGATGTTTCTACAACCAGGGTGGAGGAGAGCTCTCCTGTCAGACTGAGAGGCTCAGTGAGGTAAAGGACTCTGAGTGTTTAGATAGTTCATTTTAGTCTAAGTTATCTCAGTGGGTCTCAAACGTTTTGACCACATATTATGTAAACACATATTTCCAAGGCACTCCTTTATAATTATTAGGATAAATAAAAACAGGTTTGAAATCATTTCAATGTATACTATAGGACAGTAAACCAAAAATATCATTTAAAGTTGGGGAGATACAAAAATATGCATAAATAAATAAATGTTAACCAGGTAAAATAAGATATGAATGAACAACAAAAATAAAATAAGTTACATTTATTTGTTATTGGCTATGGTAGGTTATTGGTTATGTTCACATACTTATTTGATTAATAAAATGTAAACCGATCTTTTTCATATGGGTGTTTTAGAGAGTTGTACCCCCTAGATCAGGTCTCTAGTAATTCTGCTCAAAGTGCACCAGATTGAAGCATTTTACTTTAAAATGTTGACAAAAATCTTCCCGGGGGGGCATACCCCCGGACCCTCCTAGAGGATGTGGCGTCCACCCCCCAATTCAAACATGTTCATACAATACTGAATACATTTGAAGCCATTTTGACGTATATTACCTATGTCAATAAGTTTCAGTTTTTGTAGTGTATTTGTCTTTTGTAGAGATTTTTCATTTATTCTTGAATCTTTATATATAAAATCTCGCCTAAAATCTCGCCTAGGGCAGCAAATTGGCTAGAAATGGCCCTGGTGCTAGGCCTTTCTTGTGCTGGCCTATGGCAGACACATATAGAAACAAATTGGCGGGGCGCACTTCGCACGTGCACACACTAAAAAATTCCACGCCCTCCGCGCTCACCTATGACTCCATCCTAGGGGAAACACTGCATATTATTAATTCCCATCAGTAAATAATGCGGCAGTGCAGTACGATATATTTAGTTATAATTCATTTCAGTCAAATAGTTTTAATATATTATAATATGTTGAATATTTAAGTTTAGTATATTTAGTGTGTTGCAGGAGTGCATAAATAGTACATTATTTACTTTGATGAAGTGTACAGTTATTTATCGTTTGTGTATTATTTATTTAAATGTATACAGTATTATATAATTCCCAATTTTTTATATATTTGTTTTTCAGCCTTATTTTATTAAAACTTCAAGAAAACCCCACTGTTAAACAGACTTTAAAATGCATCATGTTTATAAAAATCAAAATTGATTGTGATTATTATAATTGCCATGACCGAGCAGCCCGTAGATGAATAAAGTGGAGATTAACACCCCTAAATCACTAAATTATTTTAAATTCCATTAAATTAGATCTAACTGTGTGATGGCGACAGGATGTGTGCATTGTCTGATAATAGAGTAATAATATGAGACAGCAGCAGCATTATGCTCAGAGGTGTCATGCTGTTGGCTCCTCACTTTCGCTTTCTTTTAACACAGGTTTATCTTTCCTGGGACCCCTCTCAAATGCTGAATCCCCTCCTATTCCCCGTCTTTCTCTCTGTGTGTTTGCTTTATTCTCCCATCTATGTGAATGATGTGCTTCAGATGCCTTTCCTCTGACATGGTGGTGGAGAGGAGGTGGTGTGGATCTGTTTAGAAACATCTGGAAACTGCTGGACATCCTGCTGTTTCCATTATTTTTCAAATATGCTCACACTTAACATAAATTGTATGTATTGTATTTTTTAAATGTTGATCAATCCTACACACAACTTGTATTGCTTGCCTGTCAGTCCTTGGAGAGGGATCACTTAACACACATAACATGGACTCGTCATGAAATAAGTTACTACAACTTATTTAGCCGCAGGTAAGTTATGGTTAAGAGTGATATTAGTATCACCTTAGTAACCATCGGCTGAAAAGCAAACCTGTGAAACCAGTGAAGTGTCAGGCGTCAGTGAAGTGTCAGGCGTCAGGTTTAAGCTAAGGTAAAATGGCAGTTACATAACAAACACACAGAAGAACACCATGTACAAACATTTGGTTACTTTAGCTAAAGGTTAGCTTATTTTTGAAGGTGCATTACATGGTGGAAATTAATTAAATCTGATTTAACATTTACGATAGTTTCACCCCGAATACGTTTTAAGTTGGTGGTTATAGATTTGGAATGAACACAATCACCCAATAGAGCATCATTGGTCCGATAATAGACGCATTAGCAGTAACAACATTAGCAAAGCATGTTTAACTTTGCAGGATGGAAAGCTTTAAGCGTATTTGCATCCTGGTGTCAGTGTCTCTGTGAACCAGCCGGGTCTCTTACCCTCCTCTCCTGTCTCTTGCGCGGAAGATCCGGTCAGATATTCGGGTAAAAACCCCTGCGATGGCCGGTGGGTACACGGAGTACACCAGCCTCCTCCAGGACATGGGAGCCGCCATTGCTGCAGCACAGAGGCTTTGAAAAACCTTTATAGACACAACGAGCAGCTGACAGACACTCTGCTGCCCTGCAGGCTGAGGTAGAAAGTGATGGGCACTGAGAAGGGTATTCATTGTTTAATTCGTTTAAATAATAAGTATTAAGGTTTTACCTGCAACACCAATTAATACATCAATTTAATAATTTAACTGGTTGTTTGTATTTGTTTGTGTGGGTTAAAATGCCTTTAAATGACTAGTGAGCAAACTACCTTGCAAACTACTGAGTTAGGTAATAAAACTTTAACCTTACTGTATAAACACGTTCAGACTGATAGAGATAATCCAATCCCCAAAACCATGATCATTTTCAGATGATATATTACATATATAGAGATATGATGTTAAATAATCATAGTTGTAGATCAAACAAGTATTCAACACATATTTATACCAATAATCCTAAAAATCATATTTAAAGACTCAAAATGATTACCAAAAAAACATAAATGTACAAATAATGTAAAATAATCATTGTTGAGGAAAGAAAAGAGAGAATAAACTAATCATAAATAAACATATGATGATGAATAATTAGGGGGACTAAGAAATAAACCTTACTATATAGTAGAACTATTTGGCGCGTTCACACCGGAGTACTTTTCCCCGTACTTTTTCCGTTTAGTTCCGTTAGTACCCCTTATTTTGCGTTCACACCAAAAAGAGTACTTAGTGCCGGGAACTTTTACCCCCATTTTTAGTGCCTGCTAGAGAGGTGGTACTATCCTGGGGAGAAAAAAGTACCAATTTCTATTGGCTGGGCGAATTGCAAACCACACCCCGTAAAACTCTGAAAAGCTTTTTTAAGCCGCCATTGTATTTGCTGGCATTAGCATTATTAGCATTAGCATTAGCCCCGCGCGGAGAGAGAATAACTTATGGCAACACAAACATGGGAGCGGTGGAGTGATGAGGAGGTGTCGGCGTTCTGGCGATTTACTCGGAAGGCTTCAGTAGAAGCTGCTGGGGGTCCCAGCAGCTTCTACTGAAGCCAGTCCCCAACTCCGGGGACTTCCGGCCGGGGACTTCGGGTGGCAGTATACGCCGTGAAGTGGTTTGCGGCCTGCCAGTAAACCCAAAGCAGAAGAAGAAGAAGTGACGTCAGCGGCTTCATTTGCGTAATCTTCCCTCAGGGAATTTATTCCGGTGTGAACGCGATCTGTACTTAGTGCCATGGGGGTACAAAGTGCCAAGCACTAAGTGCTGGCACTAAGTACAGCAAAGTACTTGGTGTGAAAGCGGCTAACACCCAGAGGTGGAAGAATATATTTGATATTTTGCTACCAGAGTGTAGGAATACTATAGCCGCTTTCACACCAAGTACTTTGCCGTACTTAGTGCCCGGCACTTTAGTGCACGTCACTTCTTCTTCTTCTGCTTTGGGTTTACTGGCAGGCCGCAAACCACTTCACGGCGTATACTGCCACCCGAAGTCCCCGGCCGGAAGTCCCCGGAGTTGGGGACTGGCTTCTACTGAAGCCTTCCGAGTAAATCGCCAGAACGCCGACACCTCCTCATCACTTCCATGTTTTTTGTTGTGTTGCCATAAGTCATGGGTCGGCAACAGGCGGCCCGCGGGCCATTGTTGGCCCGCCAGCAATAATATTTGGCCCGTAATTTTGAGAATAAAAAAGAAAAAAATATTTTGAGATTCTTTTTTTTTTTTTTTTTTTACAACATCGGACCGACAGTCGCACATATAGGCTATAATGTCCGAATAGAGAATCTACCTACACCTGAAGAATGCTTATTGTACTTTTATCTATGTTGAGAATGAATGACATACAGCACAGGCACAATCAGGCAGCGGGGTGCACTGACGTCAATTAAAGTACTTATTTAAAGGACACCTATCATGCTATATTTAAATGATATATTGTAGGGCCATACCTATATAAGGTATATTTATACGTTTCTGTTTTCAAAATACCAAACAGATCATGCATTTTAGCCATGCCTCATTTCACTCTATTTGCTGTTCTCCAGCCCTGTTTTTGCAGGGGGCTGATTCTGTGAGCTGCAGCTGACCACGCCCCCCTGCAGGAGAGGGGAGCGTGCTCTGATCAAGTCAGAAGAGGGGGAGAAAAAGAGATCTCCGTCCTCCGTGTTTTATTCTTATATTATTATATAGAGTTGTTATTCATTCGTTTTAAAGCTCAATAAATAACAAAGAAGACCTTTGACCGGCACTTTTCTAATTTTGTCCGGAAGATTTCAACTTTAACGGACCGGCGAAAGAAAACCTAACTGAAACTCTGCCGCACGGTCCCCTCGTTCCTTGGAAGAGGCGGAGAGGTGGGTGTTTGTCATCTGCTGGTGGACTAACCGGAGAGAATTACAGTGCTTTGCCTCGGGGAGGGAGAACAAAAGCCACAGCGGAGAATAAACAGAAGGGTAACCATGGCAACCATGCGCGGGAAGTCTTCTTCGCTGCTTTTGTGGCAGACTACAGCGCCACTTACAGGCCTGGCATATGTACTACAGCGTCTCCAGCGCTTTCGAGTGGCAATGGCCGGCCGTGGCCCAACCCCACATTCCCCTGATAGGTGGAGAGTTGGCCCAATAGCCGTAGCGCCACCGTCCTGACGTCAGGACAGTGTTCAAATCTGGATCAGTTTTTATCAGATCCGTTGCAGCCCCTTTTTTAGAGATTTGTGTATGGAGGAAAATAGAGAGGGTTGTGTTTTCTGACACTTGGTGAGTTCCCTGGAACACCGGGGACACATATTCATGTATACAAGACGTACAAAAGTGCATTTTGCATGATAGGTCCCCTTTAACTATTAAATACATTGAGTTTGAGTAAAATACTTGGTTACTGATTAATTTAGGTTATAATATATTAAATAAATTGCAAGCAAAACATGCTGTAATTTATTTATTTTGTATTTTTTTAAAGGTTTCAACCTGAAAGAATCCTAATGTGTCCTTGAAAAGTTGAAATAAAGAAAAGGAAAAAGGATTCCAGTTGTCCATGCGTCCTCTGTTGCCCCTCAAGCCTCTCAAATGTGGGCAAACACTCAAATAAATGCCAAAAACCCAGAGAACTTGACAATACTTATCAGAATAAAAGTATGTTAAATAACACTGCTACCTAGTTAATAACTCACTCAGTGGAGGCTCGTCCATTGAAGAAAGGGAGGACCATCCTCCCTAAAATTTCAGAAAAAAATAAACTTTGAAGAGAACAATAAATACACCTCAATTTAAAAGATAAGTCTGTTAAAATACAGATAATAGCCCTGACTTTTAACATGGGACTGAAATGGGGCTAGAGACGACGAGCCTCCCTTTGGGCGGGTCTATCCAGAGGCTCTGGATTGGGCGCCTATATCATCAGTGAACCAATCAGCGGATCTGACTGCGCATCAGAGTGTTGATGGGGAGGGTTATCAGCGATATCAGAGTTTTTTTCTGAACCGGGTAACAGGGGCGCTGCGCCCTCTTACCAAAATCAATTCCTTGAATTAGGCTTCGATTATGTTCTGGCCCGCCATCTTGTGGCTCAGCAAAAAATTGGCCCACGGCCAAACTTACTTGCCTACCCCTGCCATAAGTTATTCTCTCTCCGTTGGTGCGCGGGGCTAATGCTAATGCTAATAATGCTAATGCCAGCAAATACAATGGCGGCTTCACAAAACTTTTGTTTTACGGGGCGTGGTTTGCAATTTGCCCAGCCAATCGAAATTGGTATTTTTTTCTCCCCAGGATAGTACCACCTCTCTAGCAGGCACTAAAAATGGGGGTAAAAGTTCTCGGAACTAAGTACTCTTTTTGGTGTGAACGCAAAATTCCAGGCACTAACGGAACTAAACGGGAAAAGTACGGGGAAAAGTACTCCGGTGTGAACAATTCAAAATGTTACTCAAGTAAAGTTACAAAAGTATTGGCATCAAAATATACTTAAAGTACAAAAAGTAGAAGTACAGATTATGCAGATTGGTCCATTTCAGAATAATATATACAGTATGATATGTTTTGATTATAATTATTGATCATTAAAGTGTTATCAAAGCTGGTAAAGGTGCAGCTAGTTTTAATGACTTAATTTACTGCAGGGTAGCTGTTGGATTTAATCCAGGTGTAACTAAACTCCTATTTAAGTGTTGATCATATTGTTTATCATTAATCTATATCTGCAAAATAACTATACTACATAAATGTAGTCGAGTAAAAGTACAATATTTACCTCTGAATTGTAGTGGAGTAGAAGTACAAAGTAACATAAAATGGAAATACTCAAGTAAAGTAGAAATACCGCAAAATTATACTTAAGTAACACCACTGGGCTATAACAAAGACTTCACTTAAAGTGGACCTATCATGCTATATTTGAATAATATAGTGTAGGACCATACCTATATAAGGCATATTTATACTTTTTTTTTTTCAAAATACCAAACAGATCATGCATTTTAGCCATGCCTCATTTCGCTCAATTTGCACTTTTTTAGCCCTGTTTTTGCAAGGGCTGATTCTGTGAGAACAGCACCACCTACAGGCCTGGCATATGTACTACAGCGTCTCCAGCGCTTTCGAACGGCAATGGCCGTGGCTGTCTCCTCCTGATTGGTGGAGTTGGCCCAATAGCCGTAGCGCCACCGTCCTGACGTCAGGACAGTGTTCAAATCTGGATCAGTTTTTATCAGATCCATCCATCCCTTTTTTAGAGATTTGGGTATGGAGGAAAATAGAGAGGGTTGTGTTTTCTGACACTTGGTGAGTTCCCTGGAACACCGGGGACACATATTCATGTATAAAAGTCGTACAAAAGTGCATTTTGCATGATAGGTCCCCTTTAAGCATTAACACAGTAAAGAAAAGCTTTTCATATAAATCCACATAATAATATAATTAATTTTCTCCAACTTAATACAACATATCCTTATTCTGTAGTGAAATGTTGGATAATTAAAATCTTTCCTTCTAATCAAAATGTGTCATCTGGCCATCAACGTGGCAAACGATAGTCAAATTGTCTTTAACAGTGTTGTGGTAATGTTGTATGATTCAAATATCAAATGTACCCTTTATTTTAACCTGAAAATGTATTTACCAGAGGTCCACAGCAAAGAGTGAGCACCAGCGCTGATTTATACCCCACAAGTAACAGTATTGTTGTTATTCTTATTATGTTTTTATAGTTTGCACAGTTTGGCTTTATTTATTCATAAGTTTTAGGTACGATTTTATTCAATTTATATATTATTTTAGTTTGAAAGAAGCAATCACATTTCTGTTATTCTAGCCTTTTGCAGGTGTGACTTCAACCTTTCAAAGTGTTCAGTCATGCGGGACGGAGCGCAGTGCAAACTACAGTTTGTTCCAGGAACAAGTCCTTAATTATAGCATCTGTAGACTTTAAACGAGCTACACCCAGTTGATGCTCATTGTTATAATGATACTGCTGGTATACGCTCACATGGTTAGTGGTAAGTACTAATTTTAAGGTTGTTATTATAGCATTATAATTATTAATATATTATTATATCCATGCAAAGGTTTTTAATAATGACACTAAAGTAATGATTAAAAAGAAAACTGCTATTTTAAACTTTAATTGTTTTAACTTCTACTTTCATGTCATAGGAGACGTGTTGTTCTAATACTTCATGCACTGTGTTTGACAGCTAAAGTAAAAAAAACTTTAATGGGCATATCAAATTAATTTAGCTGTGTATACTACCCTACATCATTTACTAAAGTACTTCATTATAACCTCAACCCAATTATTATACTTAATAACAGCTACCCAGCCAGATGTAACACTTAAATTCTGCTTAAACGTTTTATTTTTCACCCTTTCTTATTTTCTTTTTCTTTTATGATTTACTTGTTTCAATAATATTATGCAATATGCAAATATATGGAAGTATTTCAGGTCAGCAGTATACGGCGGTTGTTGCTCAAGAGCACTTACAGTAAGTCAGAGGTTTTCCTGACACAACGTGAGCTCGAGGCACGTTATCTTTAAACATTGGCCAGATAAGTTGCTAAAAAAATAAATCATCTGTCATGTTGTGAGGACAGAGAGTTAAAGGGATTAAACTTCTGAGGCAGAATGTATATGTGGCTTTATTTTTAATCATCAGTGCAGAAAAATTCAAATGAAATAATATATCTGTATATCTATATCTGTGTAATTGAGATAAGTAACATAAGTAATCGAAGAATTGTACTTACAAATGAAAAGGCTAAATTAATGAATATGTGCATATAGCATAGCACAGTAGGAGTAGAGCAGAGTGCCTCGTTTGTCATTATACTGGGTTATATGGAGGTATTCATGTTAATATGCAGACTCCCCATATACATCTGCCAGTAACATCTGTAACATTCATATAATAATGTAACATAATATTCTGTAGTGTTGTTCCACATGCAGAGCTTTTAACTTGCTCACCTTGTGCAAAAGGGAACCCACCAGTACCAGGAAACAGCCCGGCAAAGGTCACGCTGATTATTTATTGGCAATCTGCCAAGTAAGAGCGCGAGCACGTGTGTCTGTTCTGTGCGTGTGTGCGTGTGTGCACCGGCGTGCGTGTGTTTACTGGAAGAGCCTCTGCACGGAGGAGGAGGAGCCTTACGAACATCGGCTTTACTCACTGGAAACAACCTCCAGTAACCTTCCCCGACACACGGACACGGTCTCTCCGGCAGATACCGCCGCCACATTCCTCCGCTCAGGAAAGAAACCCACACACTTTTTTGGATACTTTTTTTGGATTTTAATGCCTGAGTTAATAACTAATTTAGCACTACTCTCGGGTAGTTTGCGTATATTTTCCTTTGGCGACGAGCGGCTGCAGTGCGGGGCTGAGCATTTCTGCGAGGTAAGTTGAAATAATTAAAAAGACATCTAAGCACTGCATCATTCAAGCCTTCATAATGACTGAACAATGATGTGATAATGTCAGTAAAGCACAAAAGTTATTATTTGCTGTTGGGCTGTTGGTGCAGTGCAGCCCAGGAGGATGGAAGTGTATTTTTTGGGTTGTTTCGCAACACAGCGGCTCTGGACCGTTATTCTGCTCCGCTGTCCCGCACTGTCCGGCGGCAGTGAAGCCGTCTTAAGGTCCCCTTCACGGGCTCAGAGAAAGCCAGAACAAACGGGACACCTTTTTAGTCACAGTGAAACCGGAGAATGGGGCCTCAGTGGCTCGGCCGAGCCGGGAATAAGGAGTTATTCACTGAAAGAGGGGGATAAAGCAATCGCGCCGGACTCTTTCACAGTGACCCCGTTTCTGAAATCCCTTGTTGCGGTACGCCCGATCGAAGACAATTGAAAGCAATCAGGATCCAGTTGCTGTCTGGCTGCGTATTCAGCAGCAGCAGGCTCAGTGCGAGTAAGCGAGGATTCATTTAAACTAAATATAACCTGCTGCATGCCCAGTCTTGTCATATGCATTTGTCACAGTCGCCATAACTGCATTTTATGGGGGTAAACCGAGAGCTCCAGTGGGGCAAAGTGGTCATTTATTCATGCCCATGTTTATGAATGAGTTTCAGTAGCCTGATCTTTCTGAATGAGCCTTATGTAGATGTGTAATGTGTGCTTCCTCTCTCCAGCTGTGTTTAGGGTGCTCTCCTACCCAGCCCCTCTCTGGATGCATCAGACTCCCCTGCCCCGGGGCCCTGGACCCGGTGTGTGACCCCCGCCCCCACCCCCCCATTCCCCCCCTTTCTCCCGTCCCCCTCTGCCCCCAAACTCCTTCCCACCTGTCACCCTCGGCACTCCTATTCTGGGCCCCCTGCCCCTCAACCAGCGGGCAGAGGCAGGGGGCCATGGCGCCATGGTAGCCTTCAACGGACGCAGCCCCCTCGCCATGAGCAGCGTGAACCCGCCAGAGGCCAGGGTTCAGGGGACCAACTTCACCCCACATCACTACAAGCCCTTCAGGTCACATGCACACTACCAGCAGGTCAGTCCCACCTGAGACTCCAATAGCAGTGTGTTTTATTGAAGCATCACTATGCACAGACTGGGTGCTTCAGGGTGGTTTCAGAACAGTGGGTTTATCTCCATAATGATGGAAGGGTTGTGTAAAACATTTTCAGATCAAGATTTTTGATATCACATATTAACAGATTTTTCTACCTATTTCAGGTGATGTGTGCATTGCGAAAGCTACAGGAGAGTGGGTTTTACTGGGGGGCTGTGGGGGGCCGGGAGGCCAGCTCCCTGCTGCGCTCTGAAGCCCCCGGCACCTTCCTGGTGCGCGACTCCTCGGACCACCACCACTTCTTCACCCTCTCTGTCCAGACGGCCCGAGGAACAAAGAACCTGCGCATCCACAGCGAGGGAAATGGCTTCTTCTTACAGCCGGACCCCCAAAACACCCAAGAGCCCCCGCAGTTTGATTGCGTGCTGAAACTCATAACGCACTACATGGGGAGAGATGGTGGAAGGAGCAGAGAAGGGGCAAGTGGAGGGAATTCACGAGAGTCAAAAGAGAAACGTTTCAGTGTCTATCTGATCCACACGGGCGGAGAGAGGATTCCCCTGGAACTGAGGCGACCCCTCTCCAGTTCCCTCTCGTCCCTGCAGCACATGTGCAGGAGGACCCTGAACAACCTGGGGGGGTCGGAGGGAACCGAGCAGATCCCACACACACTTAGAGATTACCTGGAGGAGTACGACGCTCCTATATGACTGACAGGAACCCAAAAGTTCCACTATAGACCAGTTCTCAGCGCAATCACGTGAATATGCGCTACTGACCGGAGTTAGCCAATGTGAGGTCAGTTTTTTCATGTGACCCAGATCTGCTTCGGCACCGACGGACACCACCGGGTCTCACCTCTGGAATGAGGAGTGGGATTTAGGTAGCAAATGATTACCTCGTCCGTCCTGCCTTGCAAAAACTGACCACTAATGTGAGTGGCAAATGAAGCAAGGGGTAAAAGGTCAATGTTTCCTAAGACAGACGCAGAGCAGAGCCTCGTAGAAGATTAACCTGATTGGTCGATATTAGCGACGACATGATCAATACACCAACAGTGGGTTTATTGTGCTTAAGAAAAGAAACCCTCTCCTCTGTCAGCCTGACATTTAGAGCTCTGTGGATCAGCGGACAGAAAGAAAGACCCAAAGAACAGAAAGGTTCACAGGGGTTGAGTGAAGAAGGAGTCACAGATAAAAGGCAAAGTCCAAGCGAGGGGCACAAAGAACATACAGTATTTGTTTGTCTGAGTGTGTGTGTGTGTGTTTGTGTGTTGCGGTGGCGCACACATTTCCACTGCTGCTTCCCGCAAATGTTGCCTCATAGAGAGGAATGGGAGAGCAGTGGTCATGCGCGCTAGCTCATAACCCTAACCTAACCCCACACACACACACACACTCACACTCACACTCACACTCACACTCACACTCACACTCACACTCACACAGGTACAGGCCAGCATGTAGATTTTGTGTTAGCGTGGGAACAAGAGAGTGCAAAAAAAAAGGCATTTCAAAGCATCTTCTCCTTCTCCTGTTTGTTTCTCCTCCATCACCCTTATTCTCTGCAGCCCTTTGAGTTGCATGTGCGCTTTGACAGTGACAGAAAACAGGCTGCTGTTGCCGAAACAAAAGCTTGTTACTGAGACAAAAGCTTTGGCACGGCACCAAACAAAACAGCAGAACTTATTTTTAACCAGACTGGATGGAAAAATGTCACTCTGACACTGTTAAAGCTCCTTGGGGTATGACGACAATGAAGATGAACCAAGACATTTGGGATGAGGCAGGGTGCGAGGAAAGACTGCACGAAGGAGAGAGAAGAGCGGGAAATGGGATTAGGAAAGGGACATTGAAGAGAGCTAGGGAGGGGGCTAGGGGGAGGGAGAAGGGGGAGGAGACATACTGGTATACTGCTAAACAAAAAACATTGATGTGATGGATGTCCCAGACTTGGAGGAAATGATGGGGCTCTACAGGACGCCGCTCCTGTAAATATAAAGCCACGTTCGCTAACATGTGAAAAAAAGAGTTATGGCTGAGTCTTAATTCTGATTTTAGACCCTCTCACAGTGATTTATTCCTTAACATTATCATCTCAAACGTATTTCTTTTTGTGTTCTCTCGCTCCTGGTTTCTCTTACACCGCTGTTCATGAAGGAGGAAATGTTATGTGTTTTTATCCCTGTAACTTTAGAAAAAGGCTTCTCGTCCCGTCTTACCTGCCATGGTTACCTCTGAAGCAGGAGTGCACAGTTGGGTTTCTCTGTCTGAATGTCAAGGGAACACAAGACTTCCTTCAAGTGATTCTCAACAAAAAAAAAGCCTTTTGTAAACTAGAAACTCGGATTTGATCAGAACTGTTTTTTTTGTGTGTGTGGCTGCAACGACAGATTCATTTAAAAATTAATCTGCAGATTATTTTCTAAAGTAGATTCTGTAAAATGTCAGAAAATAGGGAGAAGTGTCCATCCCGCATTCTCAAAGTCAAAGGGAATGTTTTTAAATGTCTTGTTTTGTGAGTAGAAAGCCCAAAGTAATTCACTTTTCACTGATTCAGTGAAAAATTCAAAAAAAATTGAGAGGCTGAAAATGGCAATTTCTGCAATTGTTGCATGAAAAATGACTAACAATTCATCGATTATCTAAATAGTTGGCAATTGTTTTTCTTTACTAATCATTGCAGCTATGTATACCCAGTGCTCATACTTACCTGTGATCCATATTGGAGTGGTAGCCTTTTCACATCAGAACATTTTGACTTAGACAAGAGCGCTCACATAGAACAATAGTGATAAACAAATGTTTTGGTCAAATCTCAGTCTTATTTTTTAACACCATGTTTTTGTTGTACATGTGTACAGTGGACTACACGTGTATGTGAATCATTTTGTCTTTTATAAAGACTCTCGCAAAAGGCTGGCCACTAGTCTGGCAAAATACAAGCTGTAATATCTGAAATGACAAAGCATTACAAAAAAAATAAATGAAAAGGAAACGTTGCACATATTTATATTTCTAAAATATTTCAATAATTTATATTAAAGAGCACTATTTTTACAAAAGTCAATGCATTTGCCCTGTGTGTTACTTCATTGTTTGTTTCTCTGCCTCCTTCTTTTCTCTCTCTCACTTTCACTGAGTCAATATTGACTGGATAAGCTCTAACTTACCGTAATGTATTGTGAGGCAGTCTGTATTCCAGCAATGCCCGGCCTCACAACCACATTATTATCTGACAAATGGGATTTCTTAAACAAAGCCGTATTTATTCAGTCGGCAGGCTTTTAAAAAAAGCCGGACTGCGGTGAGCACACACATTCATCATAGGGTTAAAATGACTGCAATCATCACTTCTTGTTTTTTTCTGTTCTGCAAGAGCATTGTGGGTAAATTCCATAGGCATCAGAGAACATATAGAGGGGCGTGGCCACTATTTTGTCAGGCGTGCCCTGCAGTTGTACACAACACACAGTAACAAAGGGATTCCCAGAAACATGCAGTTATGTTAACACCATCACACACACACACACACACACACACACACACACACTTTGACACAGCAGTTACTGTGTGTAGAGCTCACTTTGGGCTGGACCTAACTGGAAAGGAATGCAGTTGGGTTTTATACATCCTGCCTGAGGGACTGAGAGAGGATGGTGTCCTCCAGAGAGAGAGAGTGTGTGTGTGTGTGTGTGTGTGTGTGTGTGTGTGTGTGTGTGTGTGTGTGTGTGTGTGTGTGTGTGTGTGTGTGTGTGTGTGTGTGTGTGTATGTGTATGTGTGTGTTTGAGGTCAAATAGGTGAAAGGGTCCACGTGGAGGAGATTTATGATGGTCTGTGGTTTTGGTGTGCAGCTGATGCAGTGTGTGTGCATTGCTGTTGGTAAACCTTAGCAGGAGGTGAGTTTCTTCATTTCTATATTCCTCACACATGCGCGCACACACACACACACACACACACACACACACAGTTCCCATTCCCTGCATACCTAGTGTTCTGTCTGAGGCTGGCTTCCAGGAAATGAGGCACTTTAATTGAGTTGACTTTTTACGGCTCGACTGGTGATAGTGTGTGTGTGAGGGAGAGCGAATGAGGTGTCTTTGTGCAAGAGAGCGTGTGTGTGTGTGTGTGTGTGTGTGTGTGTGTGTGTGTGTGTGTGTGTGTGTGTGTGTGTGTGTGTGTGTGTGTGTGTGTGTGTGTGTGTGTGTGTGTGTGTGTGTGTGTGTGTGTGTGTGTGTGTGTGAGAGAAGGAGGGAGAGAGAAGAGGAGAGATGAGAACTCTACCTGAAGAGACTGGAATAAAAAACAGAGCAGTTCTTCAGTAAAAAAGGTGAAAGGAGTACTTTACGCACCAAATTATTGTCTTAAATCAACTACTAATGTTTTTACTAAAGTATACTAAGAATAAACACTAGTAAAAAAATCCTGATGAATGACACACACACACAACCTGTTTTTACAGGTTACCTCAGTAAAGGTAATTACAATGATCCAAAGGCTCCGTTCCATAGTTCCTTATTTTACTATGACACTTACAGGAAAACATGTGTGTCAAAAGTTGTTGTTTGTGTGGTTGTGGGTTTCCGTGTGAGTTTGACACTACTTGTTTATGGGAAGAAGACGGAGCAGGCAATTATAGATAAAATTGCGTTCCAGGGACAAACAGAAATGAGCCTTCTTCCCAAAATCCAACCAGAATAATCCAGTTTTACACACAGACACACACACACACACACACACACACACACACACACACACACACACACACACACACACACACACACACACACACACACACACACATTGTCTAAATAAGCCAGCTCAGCTCACTATGACTCATGTTATGTTCCCCATAGTTGCCTGGTTAGTGGGGCTGGAATATTTTGCCTCTCGTGAAACTCACACACTCATAGAAAGTCTTTCCACCATGATTCATTTTTTCGGGTAATGACTTGCTGTGTCCTGCTCAACAGTTGTCAACATTGTCCCCGGCCAAGCACAACACCCCAGACTCTCAAACAACTGAGCTCAGTTTTATATTCTTTCTCTCAACAATCAAAAGATTCACAGTAAAGTTTGGGCACTGTGTATTCAACTCAAAGGAAATGTGAAACAAATGTTTTTTAAAGTGACTGATAACATTCTTGCAGTCTGATTAAAACTCAAGTGGTATTAACAGTTTCTGTATTCATTGCATTATTGAGCTCATGCCAATGTCAACGGCCTGGAAGGTGGAAAGAATATTAAAGGGTTAGGAGTATACCCTGCAACGAGCAATCCACAGCGTTCTTCCAGGAAGGAGCTCCGGTTTGCTGATTATTTCTTCCAGGAAGGCTTTTTGTTGGCTGATCTGCGCTTATAGGAAAGACGTTCGGTTGGCCCATCAGCTGGAGTATTGTCACAGCCGCTTCTGATAAAGCCAAAGCAGCTTCCAGGAAACCAGAGATTTACCCTCCAGCATTCCATCATTCCTCCAACATCAGCGCACAGAGGGAGAAAGCGAGGGCGCAGGAGGGGAGTAACAGGGACACAAATCAATAAAAACCATATGGGAAGCATACAGATGGTCAAATGCACTCAAAATGTCTGCATGCATGTATTTGTGTGCATGCATGAGCCAGTCTTGACCTCATTGACTGCCCACCTCATTGTGACACACTCAAACCACAATGTTTTTCCATGCTCAATATATACCACCATCCCCCCAAAAGCACACACAGAGGTGGACGAAGTACTCAAATCAGATTTAAATCAAGTAATACCACGATGAGGAAATATGTTTGCTCAAATATTTTATAAGTACAAAAGTATTAGAATTGAATATACTAAAAGTCATCATTACCCAGAATTTAAGGATGATAATAATTGCAACATTTGATTGTAGTTATTGCACCAATAATGTGTTCATTACTTTGATGTTTCAGCTAGTAAAGGTTGAGCTCATTATAATTACTTAATATACTGCCAGGTAACTTTGAAAATGTCCCCCCAGGGATCAATAAAGTTTTAAAAAGCAGATACTGATACATCCCCGCCCCTGAGCTTTTCCAAGTAGTATTGGTTGGTGCTCATGTTGGATCATCATTCCATTTCCATCAGAGAACGAACAACACGACACACTGTCATTTGTTAAATTGCCTTCATATTTTCTGTCCATTGACTTTTACATGAACAAGAAGATGGATCTCATTTATCGTTAGCAACATGGCTACCGTTAGCATCCTGGCTAAAATTACTGTCCAAGAAACAACCAAAAGAATCCCAATTTAAATTGCAACTGCACGTACATCGTTAGGTAATACGATACGAAGATACTTTATTGGTCAGATCAAGTCTGAAATTTGACTTGTGTCACAGCAGCTCCATTTGCAGCATCAATACAATAACTGAGAGAAACATGCTCAAAGACCCTCTAGCGTACATTTGACCTTTGATTTAGTATAGGGATTTTGTATGACTTACTTACTTTATACACACACACACACGCACACACGCACGCACACTCTCTCTCTCTCTCTCTCTCTCTCTCTCTCTCTCTCTCTCTCTCTCTCTCTTTGCATCTGAAAGTCAATCATTGTGATGATTTTCCAGTAACACCTGGAAGGCCTAACGGATGGGTGTGCCCATGTTGTTACTGGCGGGAATAACGAAAACCTGGGATGACCTGTACAAAACAGGTTGTAAAAGGCATTTACGACAAGTAGACACACTCACATTGTTTTATCCAAGAGGCATCTTTTGTTTCTGTTTTGCTCTCCACTCACAGCTGTGCGAGTGTAGCGGCAGAGACGCTCGAGTGCCAAATGACTTACTGTAACAGCATGGACTCAGACCAAACCCTCCAACACTCTCAGGTGTCACTGTGTCCCTTTGGCCAGCAAACAGGACTGCATAATATTTCAACTTTAGACTGCAGCAGACACACGCGTGCGTAAAAGCACCAGCATATGCACATACATATGTGGTGAGTAAGGTTTTTCTTTGGTCATGAATGAACCCATGAGTTACATACAATTATGGAAGAAAAAAGAAGGTGAATCTAATGCATTCAAAATGTAACTGTTGTAAAAGTTAAAGGGGACCTATCATGCAAAATGCACTTTTGTACGTCTTTTATACATGAATATGTGTCCCCGGTGTTCCAGGGAACTCACCAAGTGTCAGAAAACACAACCCTCTCTATTTTCCTCCATACCCAAATCTCTAAAAAAGGGGCTGCAACGGATCTGATAAAAACTGATCCAGATTTGAACACTGTCCTGACGTCAGGACAGTGGCGCTACGGCTATTGGGCCAACTCCACCAATCAGGAGGAGACAGCCACGGCCATTGCCGTTCAAAAGCACTGGAGACGCTGTAGTACATATGCCAGGCCTGTAGGTGGTGCTGTTCTCACAGAATCAGCCCTTGCAAAAACAGGGCTAAAAAATGTCAAATTGAGCAAAATGAGGCATGGCTAAAATGCATGATCTGTTTGGTATTTGAAAAAAAAAAAGTATAAATATGCCTTATATAGGTATGGTCCTACACTATATTATTCAAATATAGCATGATAGGTCCACTTTAACTTTTAAACACATTGTGAGAGTCAAACACATATTAAAGCACACAAAACATTGCTTATCTAGGTGAACATTACAATCAACTGTACGAATTGGCACAAGTAGAAAAAGTGTGTGGCAAGGTGTCAGTCTTTTGCCGTGAGTCAGTTACATAATTTAGACATAAAAGAGGCTCCACTGCCCTCGGCGTTCCTTTATCCATTAACAGACGCGCTGCCTCCCTGAAGCGACACATACTGCACTAACTGGAAGATCAGAGGCAGATATTGACCTTCATATCTATAAAATAACAGTTGGGGTTTGTTTACAAATGATTCACTCAATTTTAAAAGGTTTTCACTGCAAATTAAAACTCCCATAAACCCTCAATCCAAAATGGACATTTTGAATATGAACAGCAGCGCTTTTCTGCCAATAACTAACAGGCTGCTCTGTTTTATTTCAACAAGGATCCGATTGAATTAAACAAGCCTCAAGACTGAGCCCTCTGCACCAAGTCCATTCTGC